AAGAAAAATATATGCAGGTATGTTAAACTGACATAATCAAGGTTAACTTGACAATAATTCTAATGTTTTTATACTTAACAATACGTTAAACGTAAAGGGTATATGACATAGTACTCGCTGATCAAAGAGACAATCATAGATTATCCAGGTTGTTAAGAAATTAGCTTTGGAAGGAATGCTATGGAATTCTAGGTAATTAGATTTTGTTCCACAAAAAACATCGACTTCAATCGTGGTAAAATCAATCAATTTGGTTCAAAAATTAATTTACTAAACCGATTTTGATGAAACTTCTAGGGGACCAATATATAAGTATATATATATCTTTCTGATGGAAAGTGGTAACCGTTGCCTATAGACATGAGCAGTACCATGGACATAAAAAAATAAAAAAAAAAAAATCATTTTCCAAATATATTTATAACTGACTGTTATGTTAACTATTATGTTCGAAGATAACAAATATAAAAAAAACAACCGAAATGACAATCTTTTTTCAAGTCGGTTAAAAAACTTAAATATATATATATATATATATATATATTAAATATATAGTGTATTTTTTATATTTTTATAAAAAAGTTATATTTTTAAATATTTATATTCGGGGAAAAACATAAAACTCGTTATATTATGAACTTTTAAAAATAAATAATACTTATAATCACTTAATTGCATTTTGAATAAGCTTACATAATTGCATCTTTATTTTTTCTCTAACAAATACTATTATTGGATCTTATCGTGAAAGGTATGACTTATTGTTTTTTTATATTCCTTTTGTGTCATATTAATCTTTATAATTTTTTTTATTGCTTCTATATTATTATTATTTAGTGAAACTCTTCTTTCATTATCTGCACAGCATTAAATAATTCTTATCTTTCTGTCGATTAATGTTAATGCACTTTATATTTTTTTCTACTTTTTCCCCGAGTGGTAGAACTGTAATGTTTATTTAAACTTAAAATACAGAACATAATCAATAGTGATGAAACTGCAAACAGGGTTGCCAGATACTATTTCTGATATTTATCCAAATACTTTTACCCACTCTGAAACTTGTATCGATTTTTACTACATTTTACCGTGAATCACAAAGCGAACGATGAAAAAATCGCCCTTCTGTATATTTTTAATTTTACCTTCTTTATTCTATACCATCTTCTATTTTGCTACCTTCATTCATATATTTTATACACTACTATATAATTTACAAGTACAAAAGCTGCTAAATAATTACCCAAATTTCTCCAAGCTCATTTCAATTTTCTCAGAAATTTCGCGCACAGAGAAATGTTTACCCAAAATTGCGAAAAATACCAAATCTGGCAACACTGACTGCAAACCTAGTTATCTATATTAGGTATGAAATTTATAAGTAACTAGCTAGTAGGAAGTTGATGGATACATGTGGCGCGAATTTCTATTTTGTGGCCTTGTTGAGATTTCAAGATTCAACAATTCTATCGCTCTTTTATATGACAGGACAATATAACAATATTTGTATTGGATAAAATTGTAGCTAAAAATCTGAAGCAAGTACAGACATATTTGTATATGATAGTTTATGTTATTCTAAATACAAATAGATATGTTTTTTTTTTTATTTAGTTCACTGTTTGTATCGTGATTTATTGATGAAACTAAATAATGCAAATACTTTTGCAGTATTACGAAGATTTAAGAAGTTTTAAATCCGATCCCGTGTTTATAAGTAAAGAAGAAAATAACATTTTAATAAAAATAATATATTAATATTCTCATTGCTTATACCTACTCTAGAATTTAAATTATCGTGAGGGCATTTTATCAGAGATGATTTGTTGTCAACTATTGCCAAAGTATTTCATTGAGCATTCTGAGCCTTACTGTTACCTCTTCAAATATAGTCGCAAATTAATAATAATACGCAAGTGGACAACATAATTTATCTTCGTTTAAATTCTTCAATTTTAACTGTACATTGAGTACAATAAGTTAGAAATAAATACCCATCGACTTTGCGCAAAGTCTCCATCTGATTACGGGTTAGGTCGAGTTCAATTGGTATCAATTTGTGATATAATATCAGTGTACGGTGGGACTGGCATAGCTATCGAATATTAAAAAAAAATATTGGAAATAAAAACACAAGCACTCATATCCCACATTTCTCAATTATAAATTATTTTTTGAAGGCAATAAATTGATATACAAAAACCCAAGATGCAGATAAAATACGAGTCTAAAATAACCCACTGCAAATAAAGGGCATTCTACCATTTCAAACTAACCTGTGAAGTCTATGATCGTAAATGTGGAAATGAGTTTGTTATCCACTAAAGTACTTTTCTCTTTATTTCAGGTTAGTTTTAAGTATGTATGTAATTTTTGTATCCTCATCATCATCATATCAGCCTTTAACTGTCCACTGTTGAACATAAGTCTCCCTCTTGGGAGGTTTTGTCAGTAGTTGCCACGCGTGGCAAATGGATTAGCAACCGCAGTTAGGCTTTGGAGATGTTTTAAGAGGGACGCTGCTGCCACCCCTCGCCCTTCCTTAGTCGCTTCTTTCGACACCCACGGGAAAGGAAGGGGTGGCCTATTCTATGTCAGGACCACGCGGCGATTTTTGTATAAGAATATGAAACTTTAAAATTTTTTTTTTGTATATCAACATTTGAAGACAATGACTGTTTATTTATTTTTTTAATTACGATAGAGGCTTGCCGCGTGCGCGTCATTGACTCCTGCGCAACACAAACATGCGTAGGTATCTACTGATACCTGCGTCTGTACGCGGCGCGTTCACACGCTGCCTTGTGACGTCAACTTGGGTGTTTTCCAATGAACTAGATTATAGATTATAACTTACTAGAGATTAATTTGTTTGACCTTTTTGGTTTTTGCTTTTTCATCATTATAAGTAAATTTGTACTATTTAGTCAGTACTCAAGCGATACGATCTACTCCGCGGTATCCATACAGAAGCAAATATTTCAACATAATATTTTTAAGTAAATAATTAAATGTTATTTATCTGAATATTGTCTATTAAATACACTGATTACTAGTTATGACAGATACATCGCATCGCGTCATACCTAACTACAGCACATTTTTTTATTACACATGTGAGAATTGTCACTCACTTGTACCACAATTTTTAAGCCATTATCATTATACACGACGAGCCTCTGTCGTGGATTAACGGACGATTTTCAACCGACCTAAAAAAAGGAAGTTCTCAATCAGTTATATTTTTTCGGTTTTTTACCTCATATCTCTGAAATTTATAAATCGATTTGACAAGCTCGTTTTTTATCTAAAAGAATATATTTTTAGATAGTCACAAATTTCATCAAAATCGGTTCAGTATTTCTTAGATATTAAATCAAAATAACAAGTTTTTCCACGATTAAATTCGATTCTTTTCTGTGACAAAATCTTATTTAAAATTCAAAGCTCTAGGTCAATGTCAAGCGTTATCAGTCTGAACTGGCCATTCTGTAATATACATATTGATCATATACTTTCGACAGTGTATAATGCCCCTTATCTAGTGCGATAAATTAGTGGTATGTACTGCGGTTTTAACTGTTACATAAAGGACAGAAGAACTCTTTTTTAATTCGTCACGGGATGTTAGGAGTAGTTGCCAAGCTATATTAATACACAGTAACGCCTTCAGATCTTGTGACCTCTCACTTCATGCATCCGACTATCGACTTTTGTTTTCATATCTATAAAGTTCATATTAATATATCTTTCTTTTCATGTCTAATTTTAAATTAGATAACGACATTTATTTTAGTTCGCCGGTAACGTCTATTTAAGGTTAAATTTAAGTGATTTTGTTGTGTCCACTTTACATTCCACAAAGGAAAAATTGTTTACTATCTCATGACGTACGGATTTTTTAGTTCAGTATATTTATTTATTTATTTTAACGAGGCACACATAACAAATTATAACAATGTTAGGTTTATATATAAATAATTAAGGTTTTTATTGGTTACAATATATAATACTAGGTTACAATTCAAAAACATGTGTACACAGATTGTTAACACACAGATGATTAACATTTAGACATAACATTTTAATTTCGACAAGTGGAAAATATAATAATTAGTAAACAGCTTCTCATATATGTATATAAGAAATTTTTTTTTACTGTATACATTTAATATTATATATAATTTATATTAAAATGTATAAGTATAATTACAAAACACAATAGTACAATGTCACGTTTTATATGTATAATATTGGAATTGTATTAATTTATTAATAGTGTCATTTACAGATCATACAATGATAATAGTCAAGTGACCCTGCTGTTGACATTCAGAATAAATAGTGTTACGTCAGATAATAATATTGCGTATTCTTTAACACATATTAAACAAACAAACAACACCTATTTTGTTGAAGTTAGCAAAACCTGTTTATACAATTATAAAAGAATAATTATTATGAAAAACACAAGCACTATATAGAAAATAAAAACATTCATTGGCATACTTCAATAATAAGGCAAATATTTTTGAAAATATGTTAATGATACGTAATAATAATGTTTTTAAATTAAATTTAATATTAGGAACAAATACTGATTTACCTATTTGAAATATACATAAGATTTTCTTATTAGTTCCGCCTCAATTTCTGCAGCATTTATATTCGTGCTCTTTTTTTACCATTTTGTGTGTGTTAAGTGTTTGTGCACTTTTGCACAGATGTCTGATTTTACTCTTCGTGTAGTTAATTTATTAATATTGTGTTAATGGTAATAGAAAATTTAATTAATTTTTTCCTGATCATATCATATACTTTTATTTAAAAAAATCTGATATCTTACCGATATAAAAAATCGACATACAATTTTTAGAAATCTATTTCACAGTTAATGCCAGACAATCGTATAAATTAAAAACGTAATTTATTACTAGATACATATGACATAAAAAGTATTTACAGTTATATAAATTTTGATATTAATTTTTTTGTTTCAGATATCGCGATAACAACCGGTGGCCAGTTAGAATTTTATAGCAACAAAACAAAAACTAACAGTGAAGGAGTTAGATTCAGAGATCTTACTGCGTTGGCGTATGATGCAGTCCATAACATGTTGTTGTTTGTTGATAAACAGAATGACAACGCTTCTATATTCAGTTACCATTTAGCCACAAAAAAATACCAGTCATTAGTTAGGAGAAAGTCCTATGAAAATATTCAAGGGCTTGCTTTCGATCCAGTCAAAGGTCTTCTTTTCTGGACAGACACTAATGAAAGGAGTATTTACTGGATGTCACTAATGCCTGGATCCAAAAACGATATTTATGGCAATCTCTTGATAAAAATGGATGACGAGATTCCAAGAGCGATTGCCGTCGATAGCTGTAGAGGGTATGTTACTTGATAATATTATATCCAGATAAATAAATCCAAATCATCTACTGAAAGTGGAAGATTTAGATTTACATTAAATCAAAGGAAATCTAATGATTGATTGTTTTTCAGTTATATTTACTGGACCAATATAAATATTACGAAACCAACAATCGAGAGGGCTAGGTTCGACGGGACTGGAAGGGAAATAATTATTGATAAAGACATTTACATGCCTGTGAGTATCGCTGTTGACCAACAGACACAAAAACTATATTGGGCAGACGACAGAGAAGGTATACACTACTCCATTGAAAGTGCAGATCTCGATGGTAGAAATATAAAAACATTGTACATGGGTACTTATCATCAGCCTAATGCACTAGCCGTTTCTAAAGATGCCATTTATTGGGTCGACTGGGGTTACAAGTCTGTATGGAAGTTACCAAAGGAATCAACAAAATCTTTGGATCCTGTAGAGCTCATTGGTTTCTCTAATGAAGTACCATTCGGTATTGTTGCCAATTATCAAATTAAAGATCAAACAGAGGGCACAAATGAATGCGAAGAATTAATTAAATTGTCGCAAAACAAAACATTGATTAACGATACATTCAACATTCCAAGAGATGTCGGTTTATTCTGCCTTCATGGCGTTAAAGTTAATGGACAATTGGCCTGTAATTGTTCTGCTGGTTACACTGGGCAGCGGTGTGAAATTTCTATTTGTCACAATTATTGTTTCAAAGGTGAATGTGAGATTGCATCTGATGGAACACCAGAATGCAGGTAAATAGTAATTGGATGTTTTTAATTCTAATCTGTAACTGAGAACAAATTAAGACTAAATTTTTTACTTTTATTTTTGCAGGTGTAATAATGGTTTTAAAGGAGAGAGGTGTGAAATCAATATATGTGATGGATACTGTCTGAACAAGGGTATATGTTCAGTAGACCAAGAGCAAGGACCACTTTGTAAATGTTCAAAAGAATTTGAGGGACCCAGATGTGAATTATTGTCAACAATAAATAGTGTTAAATTAGAACGATTGCCTTCTTCCGTCACGGAAAGATGCAAGTAAGTCAACATTTGTATATTTATTTCTGTTTGGATCATAAAATGTTTTAACTCTACCCCAAACAGATGAGATTGAAACTGACGTGTTCTTGAAGAGTTTTAAAGTTTCAATACGGTTGGATTTCACTCATGGGTAACTAGCCATGACTACTGTACTACTATTACAACTCTAGCATAATATAGTATTAAAATATGAACTTAAATACCTATAGTTGTAAATTTTCTGTAACATCAATAAACAAATTACCGTCAAAGCTAGAATAAAGTATTTAATAGCCGGAGAATATTAGAAGAACAAAGCAAAGCCGAATTGTTGAAATAAAAGAAAGCTTACAAATACATTATTATTGATATTTTTATTTTCTAAGTGATTTTAAAAGAATTGCACAAATCTGGTTTTTGAGAAAATATTAAACAAATTAATTTAAAAGCAGTAATAAAATTTCTATCGAAAATTATAAAGTTTTCGCTGCGTACCGAAAAAAGTTGATTGACTTTTTCTTTTTTTGATAAAGCTATTTTCCAACAAGTAGAATAAAGTAAATTCACACACATAATTGTGTAAAAGAGTTTTATGTTCAGCATTAGACATTGAAATGATAATTTTGATATTCTAACATTAGTTTTGTTTTTTTTCCAAATAACACTAAAATTTATATAATAATATATATGATTTCAGTTGTACCCCAGAGCTAAATGTATCAAAGTCAGTGCCATTATCATCTGAAAACTTAAGAAACAATGAGCTTCCATTTGTTGAAATAAACGATTGTAATTATGGCTGGGACTCAGTCAGAGATCCAGTTATTATGATATTGGGGATCGCTTGTGCCCTACTGTGCATAGCATGTACTGTACTCGTTGCAAAGATATTAAAGCTGAAGAAGCGTCCCAGGTAAGAATCTTTAAAAATACTTTTAGTACATTAAGATAATATATTCTTTACTGTATCTGTAAATTACATAGAAATTATATTTATAAATATTGTGAGCAAGGATGGATTTATCTCTGAAAGAGATCTCTCCATGGACATAATTGAGTATACTGTTTCGCCCATGATACCCCTCATGCGTTGACATTCCTGAGGACTCAGGTGTTATTCCTCTGTACCCTGTAAATTCACGCCATATCCCACCCTTCAAACCGAAACACAGCAATGCAAACACAACTGCTTTAATTTGAAACACGAATGGGACGGAGGTACCCAAGTAAAAGTACGAATTTACCCATACCATACAACAAGATGTATGGGTATACTTTAGAATATATTAGGACAGAAATTTCATGAATAAAAAGTTCGAAAACGACAAAAGTTTGGGTCAAATGGGTATATAGTGAAGTTTATATATATAACAACAAATAAACAAAACATTGAGACCTTAGGGACCTTGAGACAGAAGATGATATGACTGTATCATTTCAACTAAAAATTGATAAAGTTTGTATAACTTTTATATAAAGTCGGACATAGGGTTATGTAATAATTGTTTAATCAATAGTAAACAAAGAGCCCACTTGACACAAACTGACAAGCCCAGCTTGTACATAGCTTGTATTACAGATATTGTGATGACATATATAATAACATAGACTTTACAGAATACCGCACCTTTCATAAGTTGACACTTGTCGCCTAAGGTGTGATACATCTTATCTAAGATTTCAATGATTATCGAAACAGACTGCAACACGACAAATGACACATAGACTACCTCTAGACTAGAGAAATAAGAATACCGTCCTTGTAATATCCTAATAATGTTATAAATGTGAAAGTTTGTAAACTTGGACGGATGGTTGCTATTGAACATATTTGATTGAAATTTGGTGCACGGGTAGCTTATAACATCTTAGTATCTAGGATATTTTATATACTGATTCATGCGAGTAAAGCCGCGGGATATAGCTAATTATAAATACAAACGTTTCATGGATGTTTGTTACTCGTTCACGCAAAAACTACTAAACTGATTTTATTAAAATTTGCTACCTTGATAGGTTATATTCTTAGATTATATAGATAGCATCAAGCCTCAAAAACGGGTTAACTTTTTGTCAACTAATTGTCAAATTAGCTGACTCGTTTTTTATCAGTGTTCTGTATATTTATGCATAAAATATATCTTGACATATTATTTAATAAATAAAATGAGTATTTACGCATTAAAATGATGCAGAAATTATAAAACAAAAAAAAATATAAAAGTAATAAAGAATTCACTCATTACTATTTATCACGCAAATTCTCGAAACATTTGTATGGAGATATTCTGAATATATATATATATATATATATATATATATATATATATATATATATATATATATATATATATATATATATATATATATATATATATAATCTAAGGTTATATCCTAACTTAGCATATAGGATACTTTATGTACTGATTTACACGAGTAAGGCTGAGGGATGCAGCTAGTAGATAATATACCTACTAAACTAAATACTAACCTACTAAAATAAGTACGAACCTTCTCAAACAAGTGAAACCTGTATTAAAACAAACTATTAATAATAAAAAATAACTTCTATTACAGAATAAAGAAGCGTATTATCGTAAACAAGAATGTCACCCCATTGACGGCCCGGCCCGACCAGTGCGAGATCACAATAGAAAATTGCTGTAACATGAACATTTGTGAAACTGTAAGTGCCGCTGCCCACACCCATAGTTACAGTAATGACATCAAAATATGAAACCACAATTGTGTGTGTAAATATTTCACACAGCGATCATTGGCTAGATTTAATAAGACCACAATAGATTTCATTTATAAAATGTCATAACATCTGCTGTTGTAAAACATATTTTTTTTAGTTACATTTTTTCTTTTGCGCTCAATCTTCAGTTTAAAAGAAAGTGACAAAAAACTCTAATAGATTAAGTAGGTTTTAGTATTAATAAATAATAAAGAAACATTAATATCGTATTATGCATAATCTATACTAACATTGAGACTGATGATTTGGAATCTCGTACTAGCAACATTAACCCTTGTATTTATGAAGTAAGTTCAAGTAGTAATAATTAATTAAAAGGGAATGAGTATTTTGTTTTTTCTTGTTCCTTTTGTAAAATATATTTTTGTAATTAATTGTAAAATTAAGCACTAAATAAATACTCCTTTTTTCTTTCTGTTAAATTTGCATGCATTAGCAACTAGTTTGGATGAATGAGATGAATTATAAAATAGTTGATCTAACAGATATTTAGCGAGGTTTTGTTACAACATTATCCCTTGTCTACAATGAAAATAGGTGTTAATTAATATGAGAATATCGAAGATGACTTCGATCAGATTTTTAGATACATTTATTATTTTTATACCTTCAATACTTAAATTAAAATTTTGCCGACACCATATACTTTGTATTACTTTTTCTATTTTTAATTACTTCTAAACGCCAGTCATCATAATGATCCCGATGACTGACTTACTAGAAAAGAAAGTAATAATTTTAAATACACAAGTCTTAACACGATAAAAACCTTTGCAAGGTACCTTTGGTCAATCGTACCTACATACTTAATAGCTTTTTTTATTTAATGTGTAAACAACGCGAAAAATTTAAAATTAACTATGTAGTAATTTCATAGTAATAATATATTAATTGCATGTGATTTATCCTATAATGATTACACGATATGGTTTCTGATTTGATTATGATATTATACATTCCTAATAAGTACACCATTGAAAGAAAGTCGTATGTATATACGTCAGTATGTACTAATTCACGCTAACATAGTAATGGGATACAACTAGTAAGTAAATAAAATACAAGAACACATACTCTGTAATATTTGCATACAGATTCGCGCAAATAATAAAATCGAAGCATCTCATTTATTCTTGCTGTTTTAATCAATCCATCTGTTTAAATTTATTTAACATTGCGTTGACATGTACGAGTATAAGTGAAATAAATATGTCTGTGTGTAATCGTTGTGTGCGGAACTTTTTTTTTATTGTTTTCTGGACGTGAAACGTAGCATCTTTTTTTTTTAAAAAAAAGAACTATTATCATAGACAGAAATAGTCGGCCATTTTGTTGAATCATACTTATAATTTTAAAGTTCCTGTTTAACAATAATAATATTCCTACTCATTTCTAATTTCCACGCAGGTTGATAGGCTCGAACGGAGTCTTCTTGATTGAAATTGGGTCTTGCATCGTTCTTATTAAGGTTACTTTTTTTTAGCATTCTGCTTGTGCGCTGCATGATATAATCAGATATAATACATTGTTGCTTCACTTTATACTAACCAATTATAATTATCAAATAAATTTATCTAAATAAATAGTGATAACATATAACTTACATTAACCTGCTTTTCTATTTAGCATGATTGAAAAGTGGTGCGTAAAATAAATAAAAAAAAATTAAATAAGTTTATTATTATTATTATAGTACACTAATTATGCCAGTATAGAAAAACCGATTACAACAATTGCTAGTTACAGATATTAGGGTATCCTCTTTACAGTATTACAACTCCTTTAATAGAAGGCGATATAGATATGATAACAATTTTACTGAATTGTTATCTTGCGGAAGTCACTCACTACTTATTTGATTAGTATTATTTTGTTTAATTCCGCTACCGTTAGTATGTGTGTGACCGCCAACACTCGAAGATTGACCACCACTATTACTGCTACTACGTGTCGCAAAACGTGTGCGAATAAAATGACACTCGGAGATTGATGGCTAATATGGAAGTTGTAGAACTTCTGGTAATAATAGTATTTTTTTTTATACAACTTAAAATGGCAAAAAAGCTGACGGCCCACCTGGTGGAAAGTGTAACCGTCGCCTATAGACATGAGCAGTACCATGGAAATAACAGAGTATACTGTTTCGCCCATGATACCCTCCATGCGTTGCCATTCCTGAGGACTCAGGTGTTATTCCTCTGTACTCAGTAAATTCACACTATATCCCACCCTTCAAACCGAAACACAGCTATGCAAACACAACTGCTTCACGGTTGAAACACGAATGGAAGACAGAGGTACCCAAGCAATCGACTTTTGTACAAAGTCTCCCTCTGGTACCGTGTGTCTGTTGTGGTCAATCTTCGAGTGTTGGCAGTCACGCACATACTAATGGTAGCGGAATTAAACAAAATAATTTTAATCAAATAACCAATGAATTAAATAATCTTCACGAGACCCTTATACCTAACGTATATTTGTATTTTTTTTTTAATGGATGATAATGGAATGGTATCCTCGCCTGCTTCACTATGCTAACGGTATATGCTAGCAGGGCACCTGTAAGGGATGATAGGTGAGAATAAAAAGGCAGGTCAGTTAGCCCATCGTGATGAATAAACCTGAAATTCAACACAATGCATTCTAGGGAGGGATACGTGGAGATCGACCTGACTAAACCCTATATTAATAGCAAATGGACTAGCAGTCCGCATTACTAACAATCTCTTCCGCCATCCTATACATGTTAAGTACCTACTATCCAAACACTGGCTTTTTTTATGTAACTGCAATAAAGTTATCATCATTGATAAAACACCTAGTGATACAATCCCTCACGTTGCAAAAAAGATTAAATAAACTGATTATACTTATTATAATCTAAATCTTGTATTCACATATCAAAATACCAAATCGATCATCATTAGGTGACCAAATCGAAAGGAGCGACAGATATAAATAATTATAAATTGTTATCTTAAGCAATTAGCGTGTATTTTTTTTTTAATGGATAATAATGGCATGGTTAGTCTATGTTAACAGTATACGCTGGCGAGATACCAGTGAGGGATGATATGTGAGAATGAATGGCCAGGCCAGGCCAGTTTCCAGGAAGGAGGGTGGGGAGCATGACCTGACAGAGTATATTGTTATTTTGGTTTTATAGTAAAAATAAATAAATAGATAATAAATGTGGTGATTTTTTTTTAAATACAAAAATTAAAATGTAAAAAAATAATAATCCAAAATTTATTCCCACGAAACACAGATTTTAATAGTAACAAAGTTATTAAGCAAACAACACGAGTGTAAACCTTATCAATAAATAAATATTTTACTTCGATTGCAAGAAGTCATCAAAATTTGTTTAAAATTGACAAAGATATCTCTTAACAGGCTAAAAACTATTGAATTGAGGACCTCTTTCTATTTGAAGTCGCTCAAAAGTTATAAATATTAATATATGATAGATGCTATGGCTGTCACAGTGTATTCTGTGATGCCATGGTACTTTTCATATATGGAACTTGGTGCTTTTCATATATGCTATAGATGGCATTTACTAGTTCCCATCAGGTAGATCGTCAGATTGTTTGTTATTCTGTCATAGAAAAATCTAAACCTTAATAAAATATCTAAGTAACTCGAACATAGCAAAAATGCGTCTTATCGAAATACCGACCTTAAAAGAACTGGTTTTACTACTTAGCACTTATCTTCCATAGAATATTATACTTAGGTATTGCATAAGGAATATATATATATATATATATATATATATATATATATATATATATATATATATATATATATATATATATATATATATATATATATATATATATATATATATATATATATATTCGTATATATATATATATATATATATATATATATATATACCATTGTCTCTGCCAACCCTAATGAGAGACAGGCGTGACAAATATGTATGTATGTATGTAAATATTTGATACTTTTTTTTTTTAATAAAAACAATTCTCATAATACACTTAAATTTCGTCATATTATTTTATTATATATTGGATCATCTACATCATATATATATATTTAATGTTACTAATAAAAAAGCTATCCTTATATCTATAGCCTTATCCTATTACGTAATAAATAATCGTGTTTTTATTTTATTTTTATCAATTTTCTTGTTACAGCCCTGTTTCGAGCCGCGGTCGACTATCAGACCAAATTTGTTAGATTCTAAACCGGGTAAAGAAGAAAAGAAAACCCTCATAAACAATATGGAGTATCCAGAGGACTACTGAAATACCTTATACCATCATTCGGTGAACTAATTTGGAAGTTAAGAGCTACTGAAGGTACAATTTATATAAAGGTTACTATTAGATTTAATTTTAAAGACAAACTATGTTTCTGCAAAATTGTAATAACTTATTCATGAAAAGTTGGTAAATTATGTATATTTTTCTAAATTGTTTACATGTTTTTCATTGTGATTGAAATAGCTGTACACATATTTTTATTTATTTTCACTGAATTTTGTGGATAAAAAAGAACACCATATTAGGAAAATTTAAATAAATGAAGCGGCAATTATTTAAAAATTTTATAAAAAACAAACTCAGTAATAGTTCTTTGTATAAATTGAACCGTAGTTATTTAATAAAGAAATTGTGATATTTGACATAGACTGCCACGATGGGTGGAGTCTTTAGGGCTGTGTATTGGCGACAAAAATCTGATTGTATGATGCGTATAAGATATTTCTATTCTGTCAATTTGTTTGACATATATATACTTATGAATAAGAGGTTTGGATTAATTTGAATATCATGAAAACACCATGCGTTGAATAGTACAGACATGTGCCTTTCATTTCTATAAAACTTTTCTTAGCTGTAACACAGAATAAATAATAGTCCTACGATTGTAATAATCTGTTAAAACGATTATTTTGAAATACGAAAAAAAAAAAATCATTGGGATTTAAAACCACTTTCTTTAGAGTTTACAATTGCTTCTATTTTTCGTTAAAAATAATAAAATTAACGGTGCCAAATGTGAAATTGATTGTTACGAAAAATATAATTATCTGCACGATACTTAATTGATTAAAGTTTAAAAACTTAAAGTTATTAATTTGGTTAGATGAATAACGAAAAATATTGCTGCAATATAGAGCATTTATAATAGTGTAGTAACGTTACTTAAAATTTGTCATAAAGTATACGGGCTTACCAAAATTGTATGAAATTGTTTTTTTTTCTGTATTTGTCTAATTTGTTATAGTTATGATTTTTTATTATCGATTATGTTGTTGCTAGTGCACAAAGTTTTAATAATTTTGAAAAAAAATCATTGATACAACCTCTGGCCTAATTTATTAGACGTACCTATGCCATAGTTACCATATAGTTCGTACCTATATTTATTGAACTTTAGACTACTCGTATGTTTATTAATTTAGTTAAGTATGTTTATTAAATTATGTTCAGCAGCATATAATGAATGTCCAAGATGATAACTTATAATGGACATCTAAATAAACAATTTATAACTTTTATACGAAAATAACAATATAATCGTTAATAATTCACTCCACTAAGTGGAGAATCCTTAGCGGTATTGTGGTTAACGAACTTTTGTTAAATATTATTTAACAAATTTTAAAAATACCTAGTATTTTGTATGCTATACTTTTGTAACCTCATCCAATGTTCCAAAAATTACACACCGAAAAATTTTTTTCGATATACGTATCTAAGTATTTATTTTAGCTTCCAAATAATCGCGATATGAACGCATTTTATGGTAACCGATGTGTTCGTTTTCATTTATTTTTATAAACGATTTAATCATGGTTGTAATGCAACGTTTGTATAGCAAGCACTGGCTTCAATACTTTTGGCACAGAGCTTCTGATCATGCGTGAACCCTTAACTGGAATCCACTTTAAACAGGCCAAGTGTCAAGCTGCTTTGCCATAGACAATTACGTCGATTTTGAGACGCCGTCTCTTATCTCTAAGATTAATATTTCAATTAGATATTACAGTGAATCATGAACAAAATTTGTAATAGACTTAATCATTTTAGTGCCATTGGTTTTTACTCATATCTACTTAAAAATGCCAAAGAAATCTTTGTCGTGTAGATGTCATTTACTCTTGTCTCTAAAAAAATGTATCTCCTCCAAAAATTATCCAACTTTAATAATTTTTCTACAGTGAACTAAACCGCAATTGATTTCACGAACATATACTGCTAACGATATACTGCTCGTGGCACTTTTAGTTACAATGCGCATGAGCATCATGACAGTCGTCGGCACTCAAACGGTTAAGTCAATAATATTATAAATTGTGCTTATAGACCTTCATAAAACACTAATTTCATTAAAATATTAGATTAAGAGATAAGTTTAGAGAAATAGCGTCTTAAAATCGACCCCAATATGGCTATTAACAGATAGATATCGATCGTGAAATTGTGTTCCGCATCATACTTTTTATGTAGGTTCAGTGATTTCTTCTAACTCGCTATTTAATGAACAAAACTATTGGCGAATGAAATGTTTTCATTATGGAGCACATAAACCAGATGACGTTATTGTAGGGTTGCCAACCATCATGTTTTTCCAGGACATGTTCTGGTTTTTGGAGGGTTCTGGATAGCTTTCATGTAACATCCTGAGTTTTTTTAAGTGTTCTGATAAGGTCATATAATAAAAATATATAATATATTTTAAACTTCGCATACTTTTCGAATATTTTTCAAAAAACTTTGAATACTTTTATTTAAAAAATATTGTTATTACTTGAATTGCATTTCATATGTTCATTACATATTATTTAATTATTGCTACTCAATTATTGCGTCCTGTCTTTACAATAAAATTGACCTAGTATTTTCAACATTAATCCTCGTTTTTTTTTTTTTTATTTGGGGTTGGCAACCCTAGTTATTATCTCGGACTCTACAGCCAAAACATATTTATGGATAGATTTTTTTGGTACTTGTTTAGAGGGGCCAGGCAAACTTTCTCACGGACTTTTGTCTAACCATTGAAAATTAAGCCATTGATTTGAATGTGTCTACGTGTGGTCCAAACACGAACGTTGCTTACGGGGATATTTTTGAGATGGTTATAAATTTTAAATATCAAACTATGTAATATAAACTATTCTCTCTTTTTGTATAACAGACTGTAAACGAAGTACCTGATACGCCTACTTAATCAATTATTAATTGTGTTGTTAAGGTTGTACTTACCAATAATTATTTTAGATTAAATAATAAGTAAATCGTGGATGGGAACCACATTGCCTTCTTAGTAATGCCATCTTCAAAATATTCCCTTTTTGGGTAGGAAAAACTTCCTATTCCTTTTGTGTTCCTCTCATTTCACCAATGATGCTTTGGAAATGTGTTCTTCCAATATTTCAAATGGTGTTACGGAAAAGACTTGTTAACTTATTGTAAAATTGTGAATGAATAAGCTAGGTTGTGTCAGATGTTTGGTATAATGTAAATTGTATCTTATGTAACAAGACTATATAGGTTATTTTGCGTCAAACGGCATAACCGATTATTTTATGGAATGCAAATATTAGATTTAATTACAAATAATTTGTTTTAATACCTGTGTTTAATACTATTAAAAAAAATTATCTACTCGTACTGTACTTAATTATGAGTACTTTTTACGTTAAATTTATTCAGTGTTCAGATTCAAAAATAGAAATTCGTTTGACCCCATTGGCAGTTTTATAATTCACCGCAGCACTGCACGATGTCATACAATTTAACCGTTATAACATTGAAACAGTTTTTAAAGAAAAATCGACTTATTTGGTTTTACAATATTATAAGGCATAAAGTCGACTTTTGAGGTTCGCAAAATTAGCCGACTATATCTAAAGCACAACCACACTGGGAGCTAAGTGAATCTAAAATATAAATTTGTTATTTATATTTTCTGCAATGATATCGTGTCGTATCATAAGAGTAAAATCGTATTATACTGTGTCGTCCTACGGTGAATTATAAAAGGATCCATTATGTGAATCGCGTCACTCGAAACGTTGTGCAAATTTTGGGCCAACTTTCCGAAGGTACAAGGGCTAGAAGTTTTTTAAAAAATATCAATCTATAAATTAACAGTCAAATCTTAGCAAAATTTTATTCCAACGACATAGGTAAGTACCTATTTATTACTTACCTAATAATTATTTATTGTTAAAGGTTTAGTGACATTTTATTGTTTGAACCGTCAGTGAAGCGTGAATGGCTAGTTATAATCTACAGTGCCTCCTGTCTCGATTTAATTAAGATTTTATTCAAAATTTTGTGATTAAGTAAATTAATGTTTGTGTTACATATTGGCTGTAACTTATTTTACGTTCCTATATTTTGTAATTTATTTAAATAATTATAAGTACATACATAGATGTAAAATACACTAATGCTATTGCACACTTTTATATTTCTAGCGGTCGTTTCAAAACAACTAATAACCAGAACTTAGCAGCCATATGTACTTAGTAACGGCAAGTTTTAGAATCTCAAACTTAAGTAATGTACTTATTTATTCAAAATTCCAATAGAATGTAAACCCATAAAGTAACAAAAGAGGCACTTTGAGAAATTCACGAAATTATGTTTACCTAATAATATTGTCGATTGTAGAAATGATATTGAAATATTGTAGACAGGTCAGTACCGTTACATTGAATATTCCTTTTTTTTTTCGAATCAATTTTGAATAAACCTACCTGAATCAATAACATATCTAATACATAAATACACAATTACCTAGGTGGATAATTAACATTTTATTAATTTGCACCTTTGATTTACACAATATACAATATCCGTGTAATAATATTATCATATCGTGTTTTTATAAATCCCTCAAAAGCTTAAATATGTAGCTTTATTATATATAAGGGATTACATAGATTTATTACGTATTATTGGATATACATATCTATACCTATTACTACCTATTTCTAAACTATTCGATTTATTTCATTTACGTATTCATCTATATGTATTTATAATGTTAACGACATATTTGAGAGGTAAGCTAAGAAAACCTATCCTCCTTTATCTTAACCACAGATAAAATAATACTACACTAGTATCTTAGCAAAGCTATCTGAGCTAAGCAAAGCTATGAAAACTGTCCCAGTTCTTACTGATGACTGATAATGAAGGATACAGTGTTACGATAAAGCGTCACGGCAGATTAGCAGCTTCCTTCACGCCTGCATAAAGAACAATTGATACTTTAGCCATATCGGCTTACCTATCCCACACAATACAGACAGTTTGCTTAGCTTATAGCTCCGTATTTCGCAGTGTGGACTGAAGTACAAAAACAAGTTATGGCTTACTTAGCTCAGCTCTCAGCGTAGTGTGCATTTTATTATTGGACATAAGAGTGTTTTGAACATTAAACAAATTATTTCTAATAACATTTCTACAATATTGTTGACCAAACCCATACTTACTGTTGGTTCCTAGACGAGTAGAGAATGTAAATGTTAATTAATATTGTTTTTTAGTTGTTAGCTTAGTCCGTGGATTGATAATATCCACATCAGAAATGTGATATTATTGAGTCTTTGTATAAGTGATTATTTAGTATAGAAATAATTTATATAAAAATAAAATGCTTTTCCAAATAATTTGTTTTTTTTTTCTCTTTATTTAGGTTTATACATTTTTTTTTTTTATTTTATACAACTTAGAATGGTAAACAAGCTGACGGCCCACCTGATGGAAAGTGGTAACCGTCGCCTACAGACATGAGCAGTACCATGGACATAACAGAGTATACCGTTTCGCCCATGATACCCCCCATGCGTTGCCATTACTGAGGACTCAGATGTTATTCTTCTGTAAATTCACGCCATATCCCACCCTTCAAACCGAAACACAGCCATGCAAACACAACTGCTTCACGGTTGAAACACGAATGGGACAGAGGTACCCAAGCAATCGACTTTTGTACAAAGTCTCCCTCTAGGTCAACAAACAGTAGACACAATAACAATATATATACATATGTATCTAAATATAAATAATTTTAGTGTCACCAACGACGTTGGCCACCTATTATTATAAAAAAGAGTATGCAAAATGGTTGTGTGCAACTACTTATACAAAATCAAACATATACACATACACGAATGACAGAAGTGTAAAGAGGTGCGTACCAGTGATCCACTCAAAATCAAAGAATTTCCGAATTGATTTTATAATGTTTTAAAAATTAATATATATTTACCAGCAATAGATAAGTAAATACAACATCAACAACAAAATATCATTCCTCCACCTCAAGTAGACCACCGATAAGTCTCCCGAATGCACCAACACGTTCCGAAATAATATCAACGGAGTTGAAATTTGAGTTATTAGCGTTAACAATGCGACTAATGGGCGAGCGTTTACCCGCGTTTGTGCGACAGTGTGAGGTAGCAAACAATTGATGTAAATTACGACAGTGTACCTTACGAGGAACTCTGTAACATAATTTGTTGTTGATTTGTTTTAAATAAAACAAACACATAATCGATACTTCTCTTTTTATTTATTATATTTATATTGATAACAATTAACCGTATTATTATCACAATGGTTTCAAATAAACCAGTTCCGCGACAGCCTTATACAGGAGGTAACAAAATTATGCTTCACATTAAATAAGAACATAAAATTATCAACCTTGTAACATTAACATAAAGATCTAGAATTTTAGAGGCATGTTACACTATCCATCGCATATTTTAAAATTAATATTTATTGCTTTATTGTGCCTTCGATGCTCTATTTCTAAATTGGTCTGGATAAATACATTATTTTTAATCAATCATAGTCATACAAACGTAATCGCAGGTACGACTTATCGTATATATCAGATAATCACATTGTGTTACCTTTATAAAAAAAATATCTCACTAGATTATTCTTTACATAAAATATTTTTTGTTTGACATTAAACGTGCACTAATAGTTTATATAACTGGGTCTGGATACTGTAAAAAGCCTCATACAAACAACATCAACAGTACATACTATGTTTATTTCTAAATAATTTACATTGTGGTAAAAAACAAACCAAAACCGATCGTTTAAATTACATTATATATTATTGTATTGAACATGTATATGATATTATTTACAAAAACAAAATGGAAAAATGGATAAAAATATAAGAAGACTAAATCTTAATATAGGTCAAATAGTTAAATAAAAGTAACTAAAAATTAAATAACATAATAATATTATAAATCAACTGAAGTGACCATTTTAGAACCACCGATAATAATAAAATTAATGGATGAATTATTGTCATTATATTATCGGAATTTGGAATGAACATTGGTCGCTATAAAAACAGTGACGGTGAATAAACAACGTTACAAGTCACTTCCATCTGGAATAAGTGAAAATTAAGACAGTACACTGCACAATAAAACAGAGAAAAAGAAAAAAAAACTTGCAACAAAACTCTATACCTACCAAGCTGCCAAGACCGGAATTAAGTTCGAAACAGATGCGTCGCTTCTAGTACTGAACGCACTGCCTCACCCCGCTATCGCCCCTATAGCCTGTACTGATTCTACACCTACCAAGTTACCAATCCAGCACGAAAATTGTAGGCTAGTATCTCTTATGGGGAGTATCTCGTATCCAGCAGTAGGTCGTTGGATTTTTATGATATAGACAATTGTTTATAACATGCATTAGGAGATCCAGATACTCTCTTAACTCTTTAAGCTTATTCTACTAGTTCAAATACATGATCGGAGTGACAAGTGAGTTGTACACTCTGAAGTGATAAATACTCGAACACTTACGTAGGTATTAAGTAAAGAAGGCAACGCACAATTAACGATTACATAAGGGTTATTATGAATTTATTATTATGAATGATATATATATATATATATACGCCTATTACCCTAATACCCTAATTATTACCCTAACTCCAATTATTTCTCATAGTAAAAAAAACAAAATGATTACAACTAACTCGCTGCCTTTACTTTTTTTTTTTTAAACATACAATACCCTATGAGGAAGCCTGCACCGCCACTACGCAGAGAATCTTAAGTGTTGTTACATTAAAATAATAATGGTAAAACTATATAAATACACTTTACATACCATTATATATTTATACTTCACTACATTTTCGCCTGCTACTTCTTAAGCGTGGATTTCTGAAGTAGAAAAACCTGTATAGACTACTAAATGATGTATCAAAACATACCTTTACTATGTTTTAAGCTAAACTTTCAGAAACATAACTATATCAAATGCATTGAAATTCGTGCAGCAATTTTTGCATGATACCGGAACAAACATACAAATAGAGAAAATTTCTAAAAAAATATATTGTTTTGGCTTCTATTACTCTTATTATTATTATTGAAAAAGGAGCTCTTTCAGACAGAATAACTTGTGACACTGCAACCTTTCCATGATCTTTTGTTTATTTAAAGTTCGCTGCTAATTCCTATCAATGATAACATCATTTTTTTAATAATGCCTCCTATGTACGGACATCGTCTAGTTATAATTTTACTATATTAATAAGACTGTATCATAACTATTATATAAATATAAATACTTCACACTTTCCCAATATAAGTGTATAAACATCTTTAGTACAAGTTTTGACGTCACACCCCTAAGTCTATGTATAGCGGTCCATTCGTAATAGGTATACGCTATCTTACCACAGAGTAAATAATATATATATTATGTATTTTGTGATTTTGCTAAGTAATATAATAAATGTGAGTTTTAAAAGTTCTTTGGAAGATTGTTACATAAATATCCTCATGACTGTAATTCTCTATAGTTTATTCACTTATGCTCCTTCAATATTCACTAATTTTTTCAGTCAGGAGGTTCGTCGCCCGTATGTAACAGCGAGGACGAGCCTGCCAAAAACTTATGCAACTCATAATTTCCATTAAAAATTAGATATTTAGAGATATTTTACGACTTTTATGGTGAACGTAACGATCAAAAAGTATGCCTAAGTTTTGCCGAGCAAATTTTTATGCAAACTGTAAGGGAGTGAATCAATTCGATTAATCAGATTAATGTTGATCATTTTTTTCAGATTGATAGTCGGAAAATTAAATTGATAGTTTGTAGTGTTACCCGAATTCGAATTCATAACCATGGATACTAAGTCCAACATTTCAGATTAATATGTCATTTTCTACAACATACGGAAAAAGGAGGAGACATCGCTGACGCATGTTATAAGTAATTTTGCGCTATTATTAAATATCTGTATATACATACACAAACAACCCTTATAAATACATTAGTTAGCACACAGGTACTCTATTATTATAACCCGCATTTCATAATAAACACGTATTTTTTCTTGCACATAAATATTTTTCTACATCTATACCAATATTATCAACAAAAATTCGATTGTTGGTTAATAATGAATAAACTAAAAACCCAATCCACTGAAAATCTCGATCACTTTTTTAAACTGGATTAAATTTCTTATGGCAGTACATGTAAAAAAATAAATATAAAAGTGTATTAATTACATAATTTTTTTTCCACCTTAAAGTACTCATAAAGGTAAATAATTTTTATCAACATTAGACATTCCTGTTTCGACTTTATCAAAATAAAAAATAGTTTATTATAATACTATATAAATTGATTTAAAATAATCATAGCGCAAGTTACCAATAAAATTATATTTATAAAGCCATACCTATTTTATAAACAAACCTTTCTAACCCTTTCTAATTCTACCAATGTTAACACTTTAGAAATTCTTTGGTGCTGGTATAAATCTATGGTATTACCAGTCGAGTGTAGTGTTATATAATTAGTATTTTATATGCATATACATAAATATCATTTTACTTTAACTCTTCTTATATGTATTTGCCCCTACAAATTATTTGAAAACACTAATATTGTATGTTCAAATTCTGTCAGCTTCGAAATAATTCAATCATTCAATACTTATTCGAATATGATTTCCATAATTGTGTTCATAATATTGCTATAGTGCGGTATAAACGATAGTGACAAATGAACACCTCATATTTATTCGCAAAATAAATAATAGTATAATAACTTAGGCAACAAATTTTATTTGTTGTACATATTAAAGCTAAAATCTGACGTTTTTTAAAAACATGTACGAGAAGAGATACATAGAAATTGCACTACTGTTGATAATTGTTCCATATTTTTTTTTGTTTTGTTTTGTTTTATTTCGCTACGTATTTTACACAGTGGCGCCTCTAACGTATAATTGTTTTATAAATATTGCGCGATTGAAACTACTATTGTAATCAATGATAATAAAAAACAAATGTGTGTATTTTAATTTGTTCATTTTATCACATAGGAAATATGCAAAGGAACTATCCTCACACAGCCAATATTTAATGTAGAGAAAAATTTCGACTTTTTTTATAATAAATTAATTAACATTGTTATTAATAAAAATATAACATTACCCACCGGAATTTTTAGTATTTAAAAAAAAGAGATAGCCAACAAAAAAAACCTTATACTACAACATGCACAAAAAAACAATATTATTTGTTACTTAATCTAATAAATAACTTAAACTAAAATACCGAAGTACAAAGAACCACATTTCTGTTAATTTTTTTTTTTGGTAAACATAATGTAATGTACTAGTTATACAGAGGTGGTAAACTGAAATAGGACTACCTATCATAAGGCAAATATATATGGGCCATAAATATATACCTGCCACTTCTCTAAAGCAAAAAAGGTGCACTAAAAAAAACTTTTTTTCGGACAATAGCCTATATAATTATAAACCTAATATCATATGTCATTAAAGTTGATTATACATTAATACAGTTGAATACATATTAATTACACTTTGGTATCTCAAGATCAGACTATATAAGTTCCTTACTAATATTATGTGACAGTGAGTTTGTTTAGTTGCCTTATAGTGTGTTAACGGCTTAACCAAACACTATGCAATTTGGTATACATACATAATACATAGTGTATGTATAATATATAGGCTAATTTTTATACCGATCGTATTCAAATGTGTGGTGAATAGAGACATAATAACAATATTTTTAACATAATCAATGATGTATGCATTTTTTTTACAATAATATAATTTCATTTAAATCTCTGTTACTAAAATATCCACCATTTTTTGTCATTTATTCGTAAAAGGTATACTAGCAAGTCGAAACCCAGTGAAAGTATTGATAAAACTGATCAGTTTTCCCCAAGGAACGTATTCGAAATCTCGATATTTTTTTTTATATAAAAGCATACAAGCTACGCGGTCACGTGATCGATTTAAATATGATTTTGACTATTATATTATTATTATTTTTGTTTATTATTTTTTTAACACTTACTTTAATAAAATATTCTTTTTGGGGCCACACTGTTCAAGTTCATTGATACTTAGACTTGGTATATTATCTCTTTAGGACTAACTCTACATTATAATATGTATTTAAAGTCTACTAATAACTTTATGAGTCTATATTTAGTTACTAGCTGTTCTGTTAGCCCGCAGCTTCGCTCCTTCCAATACAAACACTCATACCCCATTTCATCCCTTTAGGAGAGACTTCTTCCAATAAACATACAATTTTAGTTTTAAACTAAGAGCCTAAATCTAAAATTTTACATATGTCACTTCTAAACTGACGATTACATACACTTTCAAACCCCATTTTACCCCCTTTGAAATTGAATTTTCAAAATGCTCTTCTTATTATTGGTCACCTATGCTATATAAAAAAAAAAAACCTATTTGCAAAATTTCAAGATTCTAAATTCAGCGGTTTCGATTGTGCGTTGATATATGGTTCAGTCAATCAATCAATCAATATAGAATTATATCCTGGATTAAAACATAACTTTTTATCATATTTCAAACGGACAAAGTTGCGGGACACAAATAGTGTAACAAGTGATATCCGCAATCCTAACAATAGTTACAGCTTAATACACGAGACACGACTTAATAGAATTCTCATTATTATTAGTTAGATGACCAGCACCCTTATAGAATCGATCCTTACAAAAAAATATAGTTTACAATTTTCAACCACATCTGAAATTAGTTCCTATTCCTCTTTTATTTGCTAACATTAAAAAAAAACTCAACAGAGATATGCAATAGATGTTTTGTCAAAATTGAAATAATAAAAGTTGTTAATGTTGGAAATTAAACTCTGGTCAATTTAATTACAATACATTTTTGTTCGTATCGAGACTCTCTCACGTGTTGGTTGTATTTTAGATTAAATATTAATCATAACAATATATAAAAATTACTATCATAATAGATCATTTTCTTGTGATGCTTGGTTAATTAATAATTTACTAGGTACCTGTATTAGACTAGATTCATGACGTATCTGTAACAATAAACAATATATATTTATTTATATTTCAAATAATTGACCGGTAAAGACCTACATAAACAAGTATGTACATTACGTTACATTAAGCATTTTTAAGCATACTATATTTTTACTGTATAGCTGTATATTTAACGTCTCTTTGCTAAATTAAAAAAACAATGGTGATCGTGTTTGGACATTAGCAGTTTTGAAAATTGAAATATGTTTTGTTTCAGAAAAAATGCAAAATTCAAGGAAAAGATCTATTTAATTCGAATATACTTGAGATTGACTTTTCATACTATATATACTTTTATACTGGCCTCAACTCTCACGAGTATATTATTACTTGAGGCTACTAAATTCCATTACTTCTAATACACTCTTCCTCTCCCCTCTCTCCTTTAGAATCTCCTTTCCTCTCAATGAACACAGTATTCTAATGAGCGTTTTATTTACTTGCTAGTGTCAACTAACTTCTAAAAAAACAAGAGTTTCATGTCGGTGGTTTTTTTTACTATATATTTGTTACCTTATAACTGCATCAGTTACAAACCGACTTTGAAAATTATTTTTTTATTTCTAAGTATATTACTTGCAGATTGTCACCATAGAAATTTTATCAAAACCGAGTCAGTAGTTTAGATTTTAAATCAAAATAATTGATTTTGTCACAGTTGTAGTAGGTTTATTTTTTTTTATGCATCTCAGAATGGCAAACAAGCTGACGACCCACCTGATGGAAAGTGGTAACCGTCGCCTATAGACATGAGCAGTACCATGGACATAACAGAGTATACTGTTTCGCCCATGATACCCCCCATACGTTGCCATTCCTGAGGACTCAGGCGTTATTCCTTTGTACCCTGTAAATTCACTGCCATATTCCACCCTTCAAACCAAAACAGCTATGCAAACACAACTGCTAAACATTTTTTTATCTAAACATTATTGACCAATAAAATGTGGTGCAAAAAGCGGATTTAACGCTCTATAGGCGAGACAGACAAACATTATTTAAAAGAATTGGTCGATGGAAGCGACATCGCTAGCGAGTCCATGAGTTGGAATGAGTCATCCAGCGTTGCTATCTCACGGACTGTCTATGATGTCGATTCCATCCACTAATTCGTTTGTCATTTATCTAGAGGCCCTGGTGTCTAAAATACAAGCTACGACTTAGTTTAGGCTCCAGATCTTCCACAAATACGATACTTTTATTTTGTATAAAGTAAATAATCTTTATTTTTAAAACCACTGAGGTGGCAAACAAGCATACGGCCCACCTGATGGTAAGTGGTTACCGTAGCCTATGAACACCTGCAATATCAGAGGTATTACGCGCGCGTTGCCGACCCTGAAGAAACCTCTTTACCCCCTTGCTTTATGCTGTAGTCTCTTGGGAAAATCTATACATAGAGTGTAATTTGTGTTGATGAATAAACAACTGATTAGAATAGTACCTGCGCGCAGGAGGGCGGCGAGGTCGAGCACCTCGTCGCGGTGCTCGCGCACGGCGGCCTGCGCCTCCCACAGCATGGTGAGCAGGCGCTCGTCGCCGCGCTCGTCCATGGCCACGTCGTGCGACAGCTGCGGCGAGAAGCGGAAGTAGCGCGCGCCCACGCTGCTGCACCACGCGCGCGCGCGCTCCACCACGCGCCCGTCCGCCTGCGTCGCCTGCGCACGTTTCCTTACTCTTTACTGCACTTCGTATCTTTTTTTTAATGGAGCATTGTATTGTAGTATATTGTAAAATCTTTATTGCACATAACTCAAATTAAGCACTGATAAATGATTTGATATACAATGGCGGACTTATCCCATAAAGGGATCTCTTACAGTCAACCTTTGAGAAGCTGAAAGAAAACTATAGACTGTATAAGGGTAATAACCGTACAGCTAAAGATAAACTAAATAATACCCAGTAAAAAATTTTATATATAATACAATAAACAGCACCATATACCTCTACATATGTAAATAATAAAAGTACACGAAAAATTATATAACATTAATACATAAATAAATAAAAACATATATATTATTTTGAAATAATTTAGCAGAGTATTTATTGTTATATTTAATACACACTATTCATATTTATATATTTACTAGCGGCCCGGTACGTGCTTCGCTACATATAAAGTGCAATAATAAAAAAAAATTTAACATCAAATTCATTTATTCAAACAAAAAAATATTTTATTAATTGCTAGCTATTTTAATTGTACCGCAGTGCAATTTCAACACTGAAAAAAATTCAAGTTGACAGCACAATTCCTATCTTAAAAAAAAGTTTGAATTTGACACAAAAATCCCCATTAACAAAATGATCCGCCATCAATTGAATTCATTTGTTACAAAAAATATAATAAATGAATACCTTTCTTTGCTCTATCAATATTCAGAAGAATCCAATATATAGGTATTGGAGCGATACCGATATCAAAAACATGTACCTATCGTACCTGATCAACCAGCAGGCTTCCGATTGCGGAGATTCCCCAAGCTAGTCTCGCCGTATCCCATAAACTCTCCGGTTTAAACACGTCGAAGTCCTTTATCTTTGTGACTGGTATTGAACCTGCAATATTATATAGTTTTATTTTAAACTTTAAAATTAAATGTATATTTTTATAATTTAGTATTTAACAAAACGGAACTCTTATAGGATCACATCGTTGTCCATAAGTTCGTCCGTCTGTCAAGACCCTTTTTCTTAGGAACGCGTGGTAGTATCAAGTTGAAATTAATATCCTATATTCAGGTCTGCAGTCTCTTAAAGCAGTGAAAAAATCAAGCTTCTAGATCGACGCACTCAAAAGACAGGGCCGTTTATATTCCATTTATGTCGCATATTTTGGCATTTGCAAAGGTAATCAAAACCTATAGGATAATTCCCGTTGACCTAGACTCATGATATTTGATAAAAAAAAAAACAATGTCATGTAGCATAAGTAAAAGTAAAAATCCGAGAACCGTAAATTTTTTGTTATTTCACGAAATAACTTGATGATTTTGTAAGGAACCCTCGTTACGCGAGTCCGACTCGCACTTGAAAAGTACAAATTGATCATAAAGATTAATTAAATTCACCTGTTCCACAAGACACGACTACTTTTAGGTTGGTTTCTTTAGCTGCCTCGTGTTGTCCGGTCGCGGTAAGCGCCTGGTTCAATTCTATCAACTCAGTTAACACGTCCAACGTGGGATTATTTCCCATTAATCCACCATCTAAATATCTGAAATAACATAAAATATTCAGTAACGTTTATGAGTTTCTATTAGATATGGCGTGTTCAGTTCTCAAGTTAATATAGAAAGTTCTAAATTTTGGTCATTTTCACACTCACAGTAAAATACAAGGTATATTTTACTAGTGAAACTTAGTTAAGTCCTTATAAACTCATATTTATGACTAACACTTGGTTATATACTCAGGGCTGGACACTTTGTGTATACTATGTGTATGGACACCAGCGCCATCTGGAGAGAGGAAAGTGAACTGTTGGATGTTCAGCGGGTCCATTGCCAACAATAAACTGTACCAGGTCGGCTTACATGCAGTTCTCTCTAGAGAGCATTGTGATAATTCCTGAAATTTCCTAAAATTAATCCGTTACGATGGACTAATATTTCAAGCAACGCCACCTGGTGGTCCTAAGCCGCGCTACCCACGTACCTGCCGGAAGCACGGAAGTAGGAAGGCGCGGCGCCGGATGCCCGCGCCGCCTGCCACACGAGCTGCTCGGCGGGCGGCGGCGGCGGCGGCAGCGACACCACCGACACCTGGTCTCCGGCCTCCGCGCGGGGACCTAACGGTGTACTACGTAATAGTAATCAAGATCCACCTTAAGGGGTACCCCTTAAGGGTGGATTCACATCGTACCTACATTTCATCATCATACCTACATACAATGATGTCATCATTATATATATACATATATATTCTTTATTGAATTTATAAATTACATAGTTAATGCATTTATAAAGGTTGTGAACAAGGATGGACTTATCCCTAACAGAGATCTCTTTCAGTCAACCCAATACAGTTAGAAAGCATGTCGTTAGTGGGCAACTAAAGTGCTACAACTATTAATTAGAATACGAATTACTATTAACACTATTCAATACATAAAGTAATATACAGTTAAATAAAATATTAAAATATATAATAAAATATTAAATAAATACATATACTATAAATATAATATCTACCTACTTCTATAATAAATGTAAATATAAATGAATATACTACCTACAGTAGAAATTTAATGATTTTAAGATATGACAGTTCAATTTGAAAAATGAAAAATTAAGAATATGACTCAAGGGATAGGAAATGTAATTTCAATTTTTTTTAAAGAGGTAATAGAAGGACTTTCTTGTATGTGAAAAGGGGTTAGTATATATTATAAAAATATATCTTCATAATGATGCATGTATTAAAATATTTAGTACTACTCACTCAATGTGCCATTATGCTCGTCAAGTATTTCCTGTGCCGACTGATAGTTCCTGAATATATGAAGATCAACGGGTTTCCTGTCCGCTAGTACTGCTAATATACACAGTTTAGGTCGTTTTATATCAGCCATTACTGTCTCTGCACCTATAATATAATAATATTATTTAAATGTATTCATCTTATTGTCAGGTATCTCCTATATACAGATAATTATATAATTACACTTAAGGGATTGTTAGAAATAGAAACCAAGTGCCCCATTGCTTGCAATAAACCCATCCAGGTCGATCTCTATGTAGAGACCATGAGGACCATGTGGTTCCTGCTCCTTCCCATAGAAACTAACCTGTCCTTTCATCATCATCTATCATTCCTCACTAGTGTTCCGCCGGCGTATACCATTAGTATGGGCGCGATTACGATTCCATTATTATCCATTAAAATATACAGTGTCATCTAGTCCTAAATGAAGCAGAACTTGTACTATTTATAATATAGAGCTTATGAACATATTATAAAAGTAGGTTAGAAGAGAAGGGATTTTTAATTGGGTAAAAATGGAATGGTAACCCCGCCTGCGCTATCGGTATACACTGACGAAGGTAGGGGTTTTATTGGGTTTGTTCGACCCATTTGCTAGCAAATTATCTTTACCTAACCTCATCCTCGGGTTGGGGGAAGGGATTGTTAGTAATGGAGACTGAGAATCCCATTGCTAGCAATATATCCAACCAGGTCGAAATCCTCGCGGTTCTCCTTGGAAACTATCATGGTTAATTTCTGATGAATTCATCACGATGGGCTAACTGACCTGTTTCATTTTCATCTATTACCCTTCACTAGTGCTCCGTCAGCGTATCCTGTCAGCGCAGGCGGGGTTACCATACCATTTTCACCCATCAAAAAAAAAAACTTCATCCTCGTTATTTAATCCTACATTGGTGCTCCGCCATTGTATATACTATTAGCATAGTTGAGTGCATAATTCTATTTTCATCTATTGAACAGAGGGGCTATCATACAAAAAATGTACTTACCTAAATATTCTTTAAGCATATTTTCCAATGTCTCTGAAGGGTACGGCCGCATGCCAACAAAGGCTTGTTCTTTTAGTCTAAAATACAATCTTTGGCATTCCCTCAATGACTTCCCACAGGATAGCGCCAATGCTAGGATCCCTCCGGTACTGGTTCCACCGATCCAATCAAAACAATCGACGATCGGTCGCCCAACTGCCTCTTCCAGATTTATTAATGTTTGTATGAGAACTAGACCTCTGATGCCACCACCGTCTAGACAGAGGAGTCTGTAACATTTTATTACTAATTAAAAGCAAGTTATATATAATATACACAATACCATACACACATCAGCCATTAAATGTCCACTGTTGAACATAGGTCTTCCCCATAAGAGGTTGGCAATATCAGTTAGGATTTGATGACATTTTGAGAGATGTGCTGCCTACAACACTGACATAAAAGGGAAGAAGTGGCCTGTTCCAGGCTGGGACCACACGGCAGCTGTATATGTTACTTGCCGCTTATGGTTGCCGTTAAAATTAATCAAGTGGTTGTTACTCACAGGCTGCAAAGTGAGTATGTATTTGAAAGAGATAATGTACTCGTAACTCACAGATCACGACAACGAGAATATCGTTGACAGTAATCATATGGTTATTACTCACCAGCCGCTATAGTGAGAATATCGTTGACAACCATCGTACGGTTATTACTCACCAGCTGCAACAGTGAGAATATCGTCGACAACAATCGTACGGTTATTACTCACCAGCCGCAACAGTGACAATATCGTTGACAACAATCGTACGGTTATTACTCACCAGCCGCAACAGTGAGAATATCATTGACAGTAATGAAATGGTTATTACTTACCAGTTATGACGGTGTGTATGTTAATAAAGGCGATGGCGTGGTTATTCCTCACTGACCACGACACGATTAAGTTATGTCCTTGGTACTGCTCATGTCTATAGGCGACGATTACCACTTTCCATCAGGTGGGTCGTCAGTTTGTTTGCCATTTTAAGTTGTATAAACAAAAAATTGTTGTCGTGATTTACTCACCGGCCGCGTTTGTCGTCGTCCTGCGCGGCGGCACGCATGACGGCTGCAACGGCGAGCATGTCGTTGATAGCTTTCCGTTGGGCCGGGCGGGCGACCGCTAGCGGTGGTACACCGTTGTACTCCCCGCGCGGCAAGCAACCCGGACGGCAGCCTGATACGTCAGGCGCACATCTGTATCACACATATATGAAATGTAAATCTAGATTTTTTATACCTGTGTGTATGTGTGTATAACACACACACACACACACACACACACACACACACACACACACACACACACACACACACACAGCCTTTAAGTGTCCACTGCTGAACATAAGCATCCCTCTTGGGGAGTTTTGCCAGCAGTTGCCACGCTTGACAGGCGGATTAGCAACCACAGTTAGGCTTTGGAGATGTTTTAACAGGGACGCTGCTGCCAATCCCTCGTCCTCCCTTAGTCGCCTCTTACGAAAAGGGAAAGGAAGGGGTGGCCTATTCTATGCGGGAACCACACGATACCATAAATTATTTGTAAATTTACATCAATTCAATTACGCAATGGTTATAGATTAGGACTAACGACCAGTACAGCACTATCGTGTTAGCACTGATTCAGGATTCTCGTACAGCAGAATGGAAAATTTTTTCTTTGTATCACCAAACTACCAGTGTTGATTTAGATGCGATCATTTATTGTGCCATAGAGTGAGACAAATACTTTCCCACTCGTGTTATATCTCGACAAACCATACTAATAAGTATATGAATGTTTTTAATATATTTACAACCTCCGCGGCACAGTGACAGATAGATAGATAGATTACTCTTTGTTTCCTCCAAAAGATTACAGTAATAAACTTATTATAGGTACAAACAAAAAATTATCATAGTGATACGCATCTCGCTCCTAGTAAAAAAATCCCAGGTTCGATTAAGCCAATTTAGAAAACGAATAGTTTAAATTGGCTCGGGTCTGGATATTTAGGGTTGTGCCTTCAGATGTTTATGGTTCCTCGTAATACAAAGTATCCTGACTTGAAGATTGATTGTGTGACATTTATATAAAAAATTAGCTTGAGTCTAAATCGTCACGTACAGTGCGGTTTCAGAGAAATTTTCTCCTACGAACACTCAAGCTGTGGAACAAGCTCCCTGCCGAGGTTTTCTCTAGAGACTACAGTATGGGGTTCTTCAAAAAGAGTATATTAAGGTTTCTATAGAGTCGGCTACGCGCACTTGACACCCCTGGTGTTGCAGGCGTTTATAGGCTACAGTAACCGTTTACAATCAGACGGGCTGTATGATTGTTTGCAAACTTTGTGGTATAAAAAAATTACATATACTCTCTATATAGCCTCTGATCTAATATAAGTTTACAATATCCGTTAAACTCACCTTTTAGCACCTACCGCATGTAGAATATACAATATCTTATCATAAACATTGCTCGTCACCCCAACTGATGCCGACACACAATGTCTTGCTGTGAAACCTTCATGGTTTCTCGCCTCCAAGTTCGCCCCAAACACGATCAGAGCTTGCACGATAGATATATTCGTTTGTTTCACAGCCAAATGCAAAGGTGTGTTCCCTTCATTATCACCTATAGAATGCTCAGCGCCTCTTGATAGTAACGCTACAGCGCATTCGAGTCGCCCTCGTAACACCATAATGTGTAAGGCCGTTCGCCCGTCGAAGTTTATTGCATTTATATCGCAATTCTTGTCGGCAAGCGCTTCTATAACTTCTCTGGATATCGCCCAGTGAAGTGGGTTGCCACCGTGTTTCATATCCTGTTGATATAATTTTAGTTGGTTGTCTTGTAATAAGTCACCGACAATACCTGAAATTAATTTATATAAAATTAAGAATAAACCTATAAAAGTATGGGGGAAAGGGATAGGTACTTACTTTTTTTTTTGTAATAAATACATATATATTTAATGATCATGATGATAATGAAAAAGGCAAACAAGCTCACGGCCACACACCTGACGGAAAGTGGTAAGCGTCGCCTATGGACATGAGCAATACAATGGACATAACAGAGTATACTGTTTCGCCCATGATACCCTATATACGTTACCATTTCTAAGGATTAAAGTATTATTCCTCTGTACCCTGCCCACCCTTCAACCCGAAACATAGCCATGCAAACATAACTGCTTAACGGTAGAAATACGAATGGGGCAGAGGTACCCAAGCAAACGACTTTTGTACAAAGTCTCCCTGTGCTAATCCCCTAATTACTCACCGGGCAGCGTGCTGGTGGTGCGACGCGCCGCACACAGGTTGACGTCGGCGCCTGCAAGCAGCAGCGCGCGGACACACTCCGGCGCATCGGCCAGACATGCCATATGTAGCGGCGTGTAGCCCTGCTTGTTGTACACGTCCAGTGACGTCGCCTTGGCTGCCGACAGCGCCTGTAACGAGAACATTCATTTTCATTCACGTACCCAAATACTAGGTAACTTACTCGTACCAGACCAGGGATTATCAACTTTATGCTAGCAATACACCCAGTCAAGTCGCCCTCCTCATGGTTCCCCCTGGAAAATATCTTGCTTAATTCATGATGAATTCGTCACGATGGGTCAATTGGCCTGACTTATTCCTCCCTGATCCCCCGCCAGCGTAATATAATAGCCGATAGCAGAGGTGGAGTTACCATACCATTGACATCCATAAAAAAAAACAGCGCGATATCGATAGCACAGACGGGTTTATCGTGCCAGTTTCATCATTAAAAAAAGTTTGGCTTTGCCATATTCTATTCTTTTCTATTTACCCCTACTGTGATTAATCGGTACCAATAAGAAAGTTAGACTTAGTATATTTTCTGTAGGTATTTATTTATTTTTCCTTTAGTATATGTGTATAAAGCGAACTAAATGCTAAAAGCATTTTCTCCCAGTCAACCTTAGGGAAGTGTTAAAATATTCCATGTATGTAATAAGTGTATGTTAATATTAACCAAATAAGGATACTAATTCGAAAATTAAATCGTGACAAAAAACATTTCAGAAAGTCCAGATATTTTAGTCAGAGTTTGACAATGCTCAAACCGCGATCCCAAGATAGATCTTAATCAATCTAGCAAATCTGAATTTTCCTTTTTATATTTTTTTTTTACATTTAAAAATATTTGTCGCTTGTTTCATGCTTGGGGGCCACGTACAGCTGTCGTCCGGTATGCTATATCAGAGACATTTGTGTATGGCGAAAGCGATCTAAAAATTTTTGCCACGAGAGGTCGTTATCCTCATATGATAGTAATTATAAAATTATGTATAACTACTCACCAAAGGAAATGCACCTTTTACAGAACATACGTTGTATTTTCAAATTATAATTTAATTATATACATGAAACATTAAAAAATTCTAAAAATCCCAATTTAATTAAAAAAAAAAATCTCCACAGTTAAGGCTCAATACACTAAAAAAATTATTAAACTTTTCCTACTAAATCGATCTAGTGGTCAAATTTTATGATTTTTTTTTTATAGATCAGCAATCCTTGCAGAAAACTGATAATTTTTTTACATACCATTATTCATACATAATAAGTAGTTAATGAAATTTCTACTGTATTAAGTATAGTTCATATCAATACATAAGCCAATTTGCAAGAATTATTTTCTTACCTAAATGTTCTTGGTAATTCAAGGTTAAATATTATATATGAGATAACCTACTATTGTAGGCTGAACAGTGTAATCATTAAAGTGTAGGTATGTGTATATATATATGTATGTACTCATATAATTATTTATTTATTTTATTTACACCGCACACCATCTAAGATTAACTACGGAAAAATTATATTAAATTAAGCATACAGATATTTTTGGTATCGCGTCGTAACAGGTTTAGTCTATCAATTATTGTTTATAAATACTCAAACATTCTCTACTACAGTTCAAATAAAAACAAAAGCGAAACGCGTGCTCTATAAATCCCTCCCTGCTTATATTTTTTCATCCAAATATAATTTGCACTAATTTAAGGCAAATGTGAATAATTATAGCAAAATACGTTATTTTGATTTTAAATCAATCAAATGAAACTAATGAATTTTGATAAAATTTCTAAGGAACCAATCTATAAGTCCCTATATCCTTTAAGATACAGAAATTAACAGCTGACGGAGTTATGAGGTAACAAACAAAAAAAAAAACCGAATTGAGAACCTCCTTCTTTTTTAAGTCGGTTGAAAACTGAATTATGTTTGTATATTTACATTGATAATTTCTCTGTTACTGGCTGCGGCATAGTGGTATACTGTGTTGCCGTCATTGTCGACTGTGTTTAACGAGCACTTCAAGGATATAAGGCTTTGGACCATGCGCACATTGGACGACTTCACGGCCACCTGGAAACAGAGATAATATAAAATAAGTTTGATTTTTCGCTTATACATACGGAAAGGTTGGTAATCGTTGTAAAAAAAATAATCACTATCAGACAAAACATTATTTTTATATAACACCTGACTAATTTTTTCATATAGCAAACAAAGGTCTCAAAGGTCGCTATGTGTAAATATGTATATAAAAACAATTTTTATATGTTTTTTTATTTTACAATTTGACAAAAAAAAAATAACAATTTGCCTTATAGCCATCTACAGCAATTATAAGGACCTGTGCAAACGAATAACTTTTTATTTGTAAAGGATAAATGTTCTCGTTACATCATTAACTTGCACGTTATAATATTATGTTATGTAGTGAGTCTTTGTTTATTTTGTATATATATATATATATATATATATATATATAAAATAGAAAATTATGAATTCTCATGTATGTTTTTATATGCGATTTCTTCATAAGTTTGGATAGATTTTGAAAATCTATAGGATTTACTCTCTTCCTGGTCCCAAATAAACATACGTTGTTGTACGTTACTATTCAATGCGTGGTTTTATGTATAAAGTACAATCCTGCCTGATTAGGAGTAAAATCAAGTTCGCGTTCTAAATTCAAATTTTATTGTTTATTGTTTTATATTTTTTGTGGAACTACGTCATAAGACATTAAATCTGACAGGTTCTGACGTATACGGATGCCAGTAATAGAAAACATATTTGTGTAGTAAAAACATGTTTGAAAAATTTGCATAAATAAAGAATAATACTGTATTTTTTTTTTATCAAGCTACGTTTTACACATTTATTTTTGTAAATAATTATAGAACTCATATAGACTAAAATAAAAATTATATACAGCCCAATGAAACCCCGAACAAAGCAGATTTTGAATTATTGTTACTAGACCAGGGATATTTGCACCTAAATATATTTTTATACATACAAATTATAATACATAAAACCCACACTAGTAAAATAAATACATGAATACACGTTTGCACCGCGTGGATATCGAACCCGCAATAATCAAAGTCGATGCATTGTGATAATCTCCTAGGTAATTAAAATTTTCGTTAAAACCGGATTCGATAATTAAAATTCTTACTAATATTAAAAACTAGCGATCCGCCTTGACTTCAAATGAGTAGATAGTAGATTCGTATTTTTTTTTTTTATAAAAAACAACCTATATTGCTCACTGACAATACAGCATTCTATAGGTGAAAGAAATAAAAAAATCGATTAATCATTTTTTAAGTTTATCATTTAGATACAAAAAAAGTCGAAACTTTCTTCCTTATATTAGTTAAGATGTAAAAGCGAATACCCTTTTTATTTGTTGGCGCCTCAATAAAACAATGAATCGTCATAAAATTTGGTGTACACATATCATTTGAACATGGCCTATTTTTAATGCCAGTAAATCAACATACGGGATATGTTGATATACTGGCATTAAAAACGCGGACGAACTCCAAATTAAACAATAGTAATACTACAAGTAATATACTATACTACATCAGTTGTTACTTGTCCACTGCTGAACATAGGCCTCCTCCATAAGAGTGGTTTTGACAACACTTGGCAGGTGGTTTGGCAACCGTTGTTAGGTCTTAGAGATGTTTTAAGAGGGGCGTTGTTTCCGTTGGAAAGTGGTTGCACTAAGTTCCCTTAGTCGCCTCTCCATCTCCATCATATCCATGGAAAAAGAAGGGGTGGCCTATTCTATGCCTGAACCTAATTGCAAATACTGCATGTAATACTAACCATCAAAGGAGTGGCTCCCGTATGTGGATCAACAGCGTCAATACATCTTTGTACCTCTGGAACATTGAATAGCTCATATAAACCAAAATGGGCTATTATATGTGCTATTGTCCACGCTTGGTGTTCTGATAGAATGTCACAAAGTTTCTGTAAAGTTGGTACTGTGCACTGTAAACAAAAACAACATTTATTAGGAGAAAGAAATTCAGAAAATATATATTAAGACTACAAATTTTTTTGGTTGCCTTTATGGAATTATCGAGAACATACCTTAGTACACTACTAAGAGATATGAGTATTTGACCGTACTAACAATGACTGGACTTTTTTAATGGGTGATAATGAAATGATAACCCCACTTGCGCTATCGATATGTCGGCGGGGGCCAGTGAGAGAAGATGGGTGAAAATGAAGGCAGGTCAGTTGCCCCGTTGTGATGAATTCAGCAGGAATTAACAAGTTTCCAAGAGAAGCCACTAGGAATTCAACTTGATAGGGGATATTGCTAGCAATGGGACAATAACACCTCATTACTCTCCCTTTCTGCTCAATAAGGCTGGGGGCCGCGTGAAAAAATATGCCTACTAAACACTAAATCAATTAATACTATATCACTTGGAGCAAGCATAATACTAAAACAGTGTCATAGTTTATCAACTCTGCGAGACACTCCTGCATGGCCAAGCGACAAATGTATTTACTTAATAAATTTACTGAACTGTCAACATTTTACTTTTAATAAAATTTCTTTAAAGTTAGAAACGTGCACTAAACTATGATAACCTTTATCATCAGATGGAATTTAACACCTTTATAAAATAAAAAAAAAAAATTAAAAAGCTGCGACTCTTAATTAGAGCTTTACGATTATAATTTCGCCATAATCGATGCGCTGTCATAACACAATAGTGATAGTGGCTCATTTGAAAGTCAAATTATGACGATGAGACGAGACATCACATATTGACGAATCATCCTCGACGTTATTTGTGCAATGACGCAAAGTTTTATTATCGTATTCATACGCTCACAAATCGTAAAAATATATAACGAAATTGTCAAAAAACAAAGCAATCAGACCTCAATAGATAGTCACAACTAATTATGACTAATGATATAGTTTTTTATATGTAAATGTTGTGAATACACATCAACTTTACTTAATGGTAGTTTAATACTTAACTGATTATAATTTATTTCAATTGAATGATCTATTCAAATACAGAGAGGTCACAACATTTTACTCTTTAACAAATAATAATCTCCCACTACTGTTTCAGAAGCTCGCCTAGCTGTGTTTTAGTTTGAAGGGTGGAATATGGTCATTACAGGGTACAGAGACAGAAGTATATATAGTCTTTAGGAATGGCAATGTATAAAAGTACCACTCATCATGGTATAAATAAAGTATAGGTTGTCTATGGTGCTATTCATTCATGTATGACTACGAGGTCTGTCCGGAAAGTTCGTATAAAAGTGTTCTGGAATGCGAGAAAGAGGAGTGGGGAGGCCAGGTAAGCGCAGGACCCCTTCCTTATGTCCCTAACAATGCTTCAGTTCTGGTCTGACCGCCGTGCGGTGCGAACTGGCTTGTCACGCCATCTGTGAAGTTACCTCTTAACGAAACCCCGTCGGCATGGAGCCCGCTTCCGTTGAAGAGCAGCGCGTCGTAATCAAGTTTCTCTCGAAACTCGGCAAGAATGGCCGTGAAATTTTTGCCGATCTCAGAACAGTTTATGGGGATGATGCTGTGAAGGAACCAACCGTCCACAAGTGGCTAAAAAGATTCAGAGAGGGCCGAGAAAGCGTTCAAGATGACCCACGTTCAGGACGTCCTTCCACTTCACATTCCGACGAAAACGTGGAAAGAATTCGAACTTGTGTTCTACGAAATTCTACGTCGATGTGCTCAGACGCCTCAAAGCTCGTGTGGCACGAGTTCGTCCAGAATTGGCGCGAGAGGGGCGTTCTTCACCACGACAGTGCCCCTGCCCACACCTCTCTTGTTGTCCGTGAGTTTTTGAGTAATAATTCCATGACGGTGACCGAACACCCCCCTATTCGCCGGATTTGGCCCCGTGTGACTTCTTCTTGTTCCCAAAAACCAAATTGGTACTTCGGGGGCGGCATTTGGGGGACATAAATGAGATAAAAAAAGCTACGACGGGGCAGCTGAGAAACCTACAACCAGAGGACTTTCAAGGAGCCTTCTCACAGTGGAAACGGCGTTGGCACAAGTGCATTATGTCACAGGGGGAGTACTTTGAAGGGGATAAAATTGATTTACCTGAATAATTGTAAAATAAAATTTTTAAAAAACTTTTATACGTACTTTCCGGACAAACCTCGTATACTGGCATATACCCACTTTCCATAAAATGGAATATTCTAAATTGCTTAAAAATAAACATTATAATGATAATATTTTACCTCTTTAGTTATTTCAATATATAATGGTATTTTCTCTTCATATATCCTGAATCTCTCTTCAGATATTTCTTGACTTTCTGAACGGAATAAACTGGAAGTAAAATATTTATTTTTAACTATTAACAAGTACCTATACTAATGTTAGAGATCATAACTAAAAATTTTAATTATATAACACCACACACTATATCAATAATTACAACAAAGGTGCTACAATGCTTACAACCTTTCTGTTAACAATACAACATTGAATGTTAACAAAAAAGAAAAACAAAACTTCCTTTAACAACAAAAGATATTCAAAGTAATAGAATGTAGTTAAATTGAATATATTCTTTAAATAAATAGAAAAATGTGAATACAGCAGCATTAACCATACAAACCTATTTTTTTCTGTTCTCTTAGGACTTTACAAAAATACTCTCTTGTCAGATAATATTGGTGAATACAATAATAATACATACAATCAGCCAAAGAATAATAATAATAATTTTATAATGATGAACACCAGTGCTTTATTAAGATTTTTATTTAATGTTTTCCCTTTCTTACATTGTGCTGAGAATGTTGTAGTCGCTTCTTACAACAAAAATAGAGTGGCAAGACTGATGATAAATAATATTCTTATTCTAGTACTATAAAAACAATCAGACTATTATAAGGAAACATAAATCTGCTGTACATATATTGATTTTACATAAATTCTTCTTTTATTTTAATAGAAAAAAGAAATAGCATGTATATTTTCCTAAATAACAAAAGGATATTATTATAAATGCTGGAATGCCATATTAACATTTATCAATATATAATGTGTCAATGGGTTTTTGTGTATAAGACAGTCATATAAAATTGTAGTTTCTCCAATGACATCCATTTCATATTATATTGTGATTCATCCTGTCAATAATGAATCATCATTCCAAGTATGTTCCTTATAATACTTATACTTAGAAAGTCAAACATGTATCTAGGATTATTATTTATATATATAAAAATTATTTATTCTCTACTTATTTCTCAAGAAAAGTGCAAATCTATTTTTCTGTTCTATATTAAAAAATATACTGATAGAGAGAAGAAAAATTACATTTTTATGTTAGATACATTCCCACATTAGTAATATTTCTTAAAGACAAAATATCTCTTTCATTTCATCCACTGACAAATCTATACATACATTTGTCTGTAATGTGCAATGGCCTTAATGGAGCACTTTTTATGGCTTTAAAGTTTCTATTACCTATTAAATTATGTAAAAAATATTAATATTTATGTAAACATACCTAACACTGTATTTAACACATAAAAATATAACTAGTATTTAATATAAAAATACCTATACTAAGTAATTAAAATACTTTAATTTTAATAAACTTATTATTCAATGCGCAATGTACTGATAATGAAAAGAAAGGGCAGAGTTCATTATTTTCTGATATCATAGACAAAATTACATCAACAATGTAATAATACCAACCTGTACATTTGGTGTAGAGTTTCCGTGAAGGGTTTCTGTAATACAATTTCATAATACTTGTCTTTTGCATTTTTTTCACTTGGAATCTTTGGTGCATATAATATCATGGAATCCTTTCTATAATGAATGGGTCTAAAAAGGTAGTTGTCGGATCTTACTTCTAGCACTTTCGTTGGTAGCTCCTCACCACCAAGCAGTCCCCGAAAAACTAGTAAAACATATTAATTGAATATTTGTAAATTATTAAATAACAATGTAAGAACTAGGGACCAACAACAAGCACACACTTACATGAATTTAACATTTTATTTCGATTGCAAAATATAAACAAGCTGTGGACGTCTTTGATGACCAAAAGCGATATATTTTTTTCTAGACAAAATAACGTAAGACAACGGAAACAAGATGCTTATTCATATAATAATTTCAAGAACTGAAACTGTAATTCAGATCAGTCAGTTACATGTCAACTGAGAGGTTTTATCCTATTTTTTTATAGCATTACGGCTTTGGATACACACTTTAAATTTAATTCTTCTCTTATTACAGTAAATTTTATAGTCTAGTGATGTACCAATTGAAGCTGCGTCAAATGCTTAGTTCTAGAAAGCTCAATAAACAGAAATCGTATACACGATATTTAATACAGGATTTGAGTACTTGTGGTACTCAAATACTAGTCGCATATTTATTGTAAGTATCTATGTTTCAGTCTCACTGAGATCAAACGGTGGAAGACTGTCACGCGTCCAGATGGTTGGGATGAAATTTTTGTTTATGACGGGTAGTACGGTGGTGAAAATCAGTAGCAGGTATCAGTCTGAACAATTCCTCAGAGCACTCCCCATGATGAATTCAGTAGAATATGCACAAAGATGCAACATTTTTGCGCAATTTCAGTGTGTCGAGCCGAATAGTAAGGCGCTGATTAATATTTAATCAATAATTCGAGCCGCCCGACTTTGAATGAGGTCTAACGGAAAGAGCTGGTACTGTGGCACTCCTGCCCATAGGTGAGAGCAGTATTCCATATGCGGCCTGACTTGAGCTTTATATAATTTCAGGCGGTGAAAAACTGTCTCACTCTATTGAGCACTCTAACTTTTTGGAAGCTATCTTAGCTTTTTCCTTCAAATGACCGCAAATCTGGATGTCATTAGATATATCAACGCCAAGAACTCCTAGACTCCACTTATTATCAAGGGGAGTACCCTGAAAGTGAGGAGATACGACAAACGGCATCTTTTTTGCGGTTAACGTGCAGACTTGTGACTTGTCTTCTTATGGTTAAATTGGACAAGATTGTGTTCACCCTAGATCGAAACTTGGTCGAGTGAAGTTCCGATTTCAGGCACAAGTCTATTCCGGCCTCATCGGTATGTGCCTGCGAGACCTTTGCATGATCGGTATATAATGCATCTCCTGTACTGTCATCTGCATAGCAATGAATATTACTGATCTGTAACGTATGATTGATAACAAAACTAAAAATATTGTTATGTAGAAGAAACAGGGTCGGAGATAGTATATAGCCTGAAATCAAAGTATGCTTCGCCGACTACGGCGGTTCCTTGTGAAAACTGGCGACCCAAATGCACAATCTTGCAGACAACCCAAACGCGGGTACTTTCGAAAGCAGCGCTCTAAGCCACACCCTATCAAAGGCTTTCGCAATATCCAGACTAACAGCTAAGGCTTCTCCCTTATTCACGATTGCCACTGCTTATCGGTGTGTTAAGTAAACTAAAAGATCACTGGCCGAGCGTCCCTGTCGAAAACCGTACTGACGATCACAGATCAGCCGATGCTCTTATAGGTACCGAAGCAGTTGGCAGTTAATGTTGGATTCCATAACCTTCGAGTATAAGGAAGTGATAGCTATAAGCCTATAGTTAACTGAATTTGAGCGATCTCCCTTTTTAGGGATCGGATGTACCAGAGCAATCTTCCAAAACTTTGGGACTACATTTGATAACTAACAGAGTCGAAAAAGACGCGTAAGAACCGGAGCCAACTCTGGTGCGCACATCCTAAGCACAATTAGATGAATACCATCGGGCTCCTTCGACATGAATTTCAAGGGAGAAAAGTGCTCTATGCACTGAGCTATGCGGGAATTTAATTTCAGGCATAGAGCTCTTACAACGCGGGATGGTCGGCGATGGTTTCTCCCCGTCAACCAACGTCGAGTTTGACGCAAAGAGGGATCCAAGAAGATTAGCCTTTTCTTTGACGTTCAGAGCCAATGAGTTGTCCTCCCTGCGCAATGGTGAAAAGATGACTTACAGAAATTCCCTTGTGCAGCTTTGGCCAAACTCTTGCCAATTCTACTAATATGTTTTGATTTCGCTGTAGCTATAACTCTTTTGAAAGGCCTAGAGGCAAAGTTGTTCTTATTTTTAAGGGCACTGGTGTTACCGAAATATTATTGGTGATGTGGATGTTCATAGGCAGCGATAGTCATTTACCATCAGGTGAGCCGCATGCTTATTTGCCCCGTATTGTAAAACAATTAAGTTAGACCTTTAGGAACTCTAAAAGAGTGTAACAGAAAGTAGAGAGATAAATAAAATTTAGAGGATACATTGTAGTTAAGTTTATTAAGTAGATCAGCACAATCTATTAGAAGAGAAGCTAACTTTATCAAATAAATAATATTAGCTATTTAACGGGGCTTTTCTAGACTAAGTTAATGGTATTTTTTAGAAATTTTAATGTATTGCTATGATCATGGGTACGGTATGCAAATTTTTTTCTGGTGACGTAATTAATGAAATGTAAGTTTGGAGAATTCCAAATTTAAGATGCATATTCTAACTTACTGCGCAATATAATATCTTTAAGGTTTTTACATGTACAAATCCAGTGGTACATATGACAAACCCTAATGTTCGCACAGCAATATTGACGATATTTTTCAATTCTACTGTTTTTGTTTGTATATTAAACAATATCTTTACTAATTATGAGCAGATTTTGATATATATTTTTTTAATCTTAAAAGACATACTTCTATATTTGTCGTATTATTTGTGTTTTGATTTTAAGTGTGGGACATTACATTAATTTTTTTTAAACAAGCTGACGGCCCCCTAATATAATGTGGTAACCATCACCTATAGATATGACAGTATTATGGACATAACAGAATATACTATGCCGCCCGTGATACCCTTTATACGTTGCATTTCCTGAACACTAACCTTATGTTTATGTTATGTTTGTACTCTGTAATATCACCGCTATATTCCACAAATTACCCCCTTCAAACTGAAACAGATCCATACAAATACGACTGTTTCATAACATAAATACGAATGGCGTATAAGCAGACGACTTTTGTACAAAGTCGCCTTGATAAAAAAAAATATGGAGGTATGATGCCTCAGACTAAGAATTAACAAAACCAGTTATTTTGGTTTATTGTAAAAACCAAATTACTAAGGCGATTATAACAAAATTCCAATGGGACTATTTATTTATTTGGTAGACTAATAAAGCTTTTTCTTCAATTACAGTAAATATAAATTATAATAAGAAACAGATAGTCAACAATAGGTATCCACGCATAGTTAAGAAATATAAAACAAACGCGTGAGTTGGGCAACAGTAAAGACAAGTGCACATACATATATGAAATAATAATAATAAAAAAAAGAAAAAATATATCATGCTTAAAAGCTAACACTAGAAATATATGTATATAACAAGGATACAACAACAAAATTATGTTTGACATCATATGTAACATATGGGTTGAAAGATAAAATAGGCTAATTAAAGATGTTTTAGATGAAAATTCCCTACTACTCCCATTGCTAACAATATACCCTACACAGGTCGACCTCCTCGTGGTACCCCCCGAAAACCATCGTACTGAATTCCAAGTGTATTCATCACGATGGGCTAACTGACCTGTCTTTTCATTCTCACCTATCACCCCTCACTGGTGTCCCGCCAGTGTATGCCGTTAGCGCAGGCAGGGTTACCTTTCAATTGTCATCGTCTAAAGGAATCTTGAAAGATAGTTAATAGTAAATAGATTATCTATCTATCTATCCACAACAATCTGGCATCGATTATGACAAGAACTGCATAAGAAGATTACCTCTAATTTCCACATGTTGAAACTTCAACAAAAGTAATTGTTAATCAATACGATCAAATGCTTAGTTGTAATCAGTATAAATAACAAATACTTAGTGGTCGTCATCCATGACTTCTATTAAGTAATCTTTAAGAAAACCAAGTTGGAGACTGTAGATATTTATTTACAAATATATTGCAACAAGCTTTTACCTGCGACTTCATCCGTGTGACCGGAAAATATGTATTTACTGACCAAAATAAAAAGTAGCCTATATCCTTCTTTATCCCCTACAGTACCAAAGGTACCTGCGGATTTGCCAAGTCATTATAATTATTATAGAAATAAAGATGTCTAATATTGATACAGTTACTATAAATATTGATAGACTATTATTTAGATAACATAATTTTATAGCAAAGTTGTTGAATAAGTGTTTCCAGATAAACCAAAATAACCGATTTGGTTTTAAATAAGTTTTCACAATTTTTTTTAGTGGATAACGGAACTGCATAACGAGACTTTGTATTTTTTTAAATTTTATGTTTTTGATGGGATATTCAATTCAATTTATTTATTTATTGCATTCTACAATATTATTATAAAAGATATGAATAATTGATGAAGTACATTGTAGATCCTGTCGAGCACAGCAATTAGAAGCGAGGAGCGCGTCGATCCTTAAATTTTCATAAAAAAATCAATAATTAAATAATTTAATTCAATTCAATTTCATCAATGTAATTAAATTATAATTATATTCCAAATTAATGTAATGATTTAAACGATTTATTTATTTATTTCCTATAGGTGAAAGAAAATTGCGTAATTTTTATTTATTACCAACCAAAAAAAAGCAAACAAATCTTTGCTCCTTTTTTTTGTACCACTAAAGTGATAAACAAGCATACGGCCCACTTGATGGTGAGCGGTTACCGTAGCCGATGAACGCCTGCAATACCAGGCCGACCTAAAGAAACTTTTTTAACCATTCGTTGAAAAATCTCCAATATTAGTAAGAATAATTAAAATAAAACCAACTGAGATAATACAATACATATGTAATAATCATAATTTTATTTCATATGGATACACAAAAATGGAATGCATTTAGAATAAGTATATTCATAATCACTTTCAATAATAAATTCCAATTAAACTAAAACTAAATCTTTGGCAATATAAACATTAACATATCTAGTGACTAGGGTTTTTTAAAATAGGATATTAGTTTGTTATTCAAATTATTAAGTACATATATAATATAAATAAGATAAATAAATAAAAAAAAATAATAGACGTAATAGTGCCCATACCAAAAAGACAGCAATAGCAACATTGGAGTCAATTCTGAAATGCTATTACTCTTTTTTTTTATAGCACAAAGGTGGCAAACAAGCACAGCCCGTCTGATGGTCATTTACCATTTGTACATATTTCTTTATATATTAGGTTCTTAGAGAAAAGATTGCAATGCGAAATCAAATTAAAATTTTAAAGAAATGGCGTCTCTTAGTTAGCCGCTTTGACTGTTGTGGTATAATGATAAGAATGTTATTATTAAACTTCCAAAAGGAAGGGGTTCGCCTGTAGTTTTTTATGTGTAGTATTTGTGTGTAGTTATTTAATCGTAAATTTGAAATCGATTTTGATATTCTTTTTGTAATTGATTGCAATTTAAGTACTCATTCGTTGGTTCCTTATAAATCATGAAAACAGTAGCTTTTATAATGTTTTTTTTTTTTATTTTTTTTTATTGCAGAACAAAAATTGTTTGTTGCAAAGCAAAACATACCAACTTGATGTTTAATGCAAATAACGATTTCTTATCCATAGGAGGCAGGTTCACATAGTAATTGTAATATATTTTCATTGGAATATTAAATCATTTATAATTAAATAATAAAATAAAATTTGCACAAAGCTAAAACTACATACAATGTAAATAACAAATAAAATAAAAATAACGTTATGGATGCACTTGGTTTGCAACCTTTAGGGGTTCTTGAGTGGATAATTTAATAAAGCCAACAAATCAGTTAAATTAAGTAGATTCTAGATAGGATGTAGGAGGATTTCAGATTTTTTATATGAGCAATGAAACATATCCATCTATTTGCCTGATGGTAAACAGCTACAGTATTATCTGTGCCACAGGCCAGAGAAGCATCATTGTAAAATAAGATACAAACCTTCAAATGTCTGCATAGAAAGATAAATGCAATTGGAGCGATAATGTTCCTAGGATGTTATTTGTTTTTAGTTTTTTTTTTTTTTTTTAATTGTTATATATTTTTATATATATATTTTGATAGGTACATTGTTTATAGACATGTTTGTTACATAGATTGCTACAATTACAAAAATTAACAGAATTGGAATGCATAATTAACACTCAGTTATATTAAAATTATTACAATAAATAATTATCTGAATCAACTAGTGAAAACAACATATTATAGAAAATTTAATAGACAATCACACAGTTGATTACCTAATAATCATAGCTTCAACTTTTATATTTGGAAAATACTCATTATGCTTATCTTTTTTAAATATTAAGGGGTTTATAAAATTATTATAGGTGATTAAAATAAATCTATCTATATAAAAGTGAATTAAAGTTATGCAGCATGACTTTGACTGGTATTAGTACCAGGAATGTTATCTGGGTTGGCCAAGGGGTCTAATTCAGCAAACAACTTGAACCAGGCAGCCTTATCATCCTTTTTTGGAGCCAGTGGACCAACAGGGTAATTTTGTGGAGGCGTATTCGATGTTTTGTTGTTATTGGTGCTTGGTGTTAGAGGGTTTTGGAACATGCTGGAAGCAGTTGACTCCTGTAAAAACACAGTATGAATTTACGTAAGCATCTATCCATTATTCACCACTGAACATAAAAAGTAGTTCACCACAAATTATAGTTTTGACTCATATGAGGTCATCAACATTTATCATCATATCAGCCTTCAACTGTCCACTGTTAAATACCACCCTTTGGGGGTTGAGCCAGTAGTTGCCACACTTGGCAGGCGGATTGACAACTGCAGTCAGGTTTTGGAGATGTTTTAAGAGGAATGCTGCTGCCCATCCCTCGCCTTCCCTTAGTCACCTTCTACAACACTCACAGGAAAGGAGGGGGTGGCCTATTCTATACCGGGACCACACAGCTATCATCTACACTATCTATTATTAACAGTGGTTGATTTATTTCAAGGCTATAAATGCTGTATTATAACTATGCATAAATAATGACATCATTTGGTGTAGTAATTAAAACTAAAACATTGTATATAATACTTATGTTATTGTAATTATACAAATGTTTGTGTTTTTTATAGTTTTATAATGTAAGTAATGGTATACTGGGGGAAAGGGATTGTTAGTAATGGGGACTAATGCCCATTGCTAACAAGATTATCAAGTCGATTTTTACATAGTTTCCCCTGGAAACCATTGTGATTAATACTTGTCGCATTCGTCATGATGGACTAATTGACCTGCTTTCATGCTCATCTATCATCCCTTGTTGGTGCCATGCGTGTATACTGATAGAGCAGGCGGGGTTTCAATTCCATTATCCATTAAAAAAAAAGGAATGCTATACTCCTTCATTTTGTTGATGTTTTACTGTATTCTAATTTATATAACTCATTCCATAAACTGGTGTTAGTATTCATTAATAGGCTCTCAAAAATATATTTTGTTCTAGAAAATAATTTAATATTAGCAGAAAATAAAAAAAGTTAATTACAATTTTTTAAAAAAGAACACTTTGTATTTATAGCAACAGCAACATACATTACATGGTATTCATACACCTATTATTATGTAGTGTATCTGTTGATATGATGTTATTGTTATTTTTTAATTAGTTTTTGGTAACATAAAAAAAAAATTTGAAAAAAATTTTTGAGATCCTGTTAATGAATACAAACACCAGTTTTAAAATATAAAAAATTAAATACCTATAAAATACTTTCTAATTTAAATTATTTTATATTTTTAATTATTTGCGATACCCACACAATTTTTTTATATATTGTTTCGAGTATTTGTATAGTACACCTTTATCAATCTATATCTGTGCTTTATGTATGAAACAATTCCTAATAATATTAAGAATGTTTGTAAACATGTTTGGATAATTCTAATTGTAGTAATAATATATAAGAAAGTTATTTCTTACTTGTAGCAACTGGGAAGGCATAAAGGAGCTAAAGTTGGTAGGCATGTCACCACAATCTAATCGTAGCCCAGCCAAATCTGAAATTACTCCAGGGATTTCACCAGTATTTTCTGACTCGATGCAACCAGTGTCTATTAGAGTTGATATTGATGTATCTGTTGCATTAGAAGTGGATGGAGGTTGTTTGTCATTATCATTATTGATTTCAGTATTCTTTTCAATTTTTTTGTCATGGTTATTGTCATCTTTATATTCATCCTGGAAATAAAAATAAAAGAAGTAATTTTTTTTATGTTAAATAACAGTAACAGTTACATGAGTCAATATCAGACCAACCATTAGTAGCTGCAACATCACATACTAGCTATAATGTGTTAAGACAAACCATAATTAGGGTTTTATCATATTTTCAAACTAGAATAACAAATTGTGATTATGTTTATTTTTTAAATTAATACAATCTAGAATGTATCATAAGAAAATTTGTTATACCTGGAAAAATAACATTTGGTCCTTATCCTGTGGCACAACATCTTGCTGCTTGGACTCTCCTTCTAAATTCTGAGATAATTCTTTCAATATACAAAATTCATACTGTGGAGTAGAACTCATTGTATCAGCTGTAGCAAGTAAGGTTTGGACCACTTTTGTTGAAAATGTTGTAAAGGAACTTTGATAATTTGAAAGAACATGGGAGAACATGTTGCATCTTGCAGCAGCTAAAAGATCAATCTGAAATATTAAAAAATAGTAATTGTTTACAAGTTAGGAGACATTATGTAACGAAAAACTAGATGTAGAACATATGGGAGCAAAACCCAATACATTCAGACACAAGTTGATTTAATTGAGTTTTCCTTTTTAAATTATGTGGGCCAAATATATAGTAAAATATTTATGATCACCTAATTATAAATGTAACAGCAAAAACATTTGGATATTTGTCATTTAATTGTTTTCTAACATATGATATCCTAACTTGGTGGATTTAAATGTAATTTAAAATACATATAAACTATGTGTTAGATTGAAATTAGGATAAATTTACAGTACTAATTCACACAGTTAAGGCCATAGGATATAGCTAGTATTTTATTATAAAGGAACTAATATATAATACCTTCTGTAAGACATCAAGTGTTAATTTATCAAAAAGCTTTTTACTCTCGCGTACTTGGCGTTGTGCTTTCCGAAAACTATCAAGGCCGCGGCCTGTATCCGGATCCAGCTGCGCACTTGTCGACTTCATCCAACTGAGCGCCGCGCGATATTCGATACGGGCTTTTTCCATAGCTGATACTGTAGCACGCATATCGCTAACAGCACGCCCTCTGAATGTCTCTACTTCATGATAAAGTCTCAACAATGGCCCCCGAACTGATAATCGCTGCTGGCCAGAATAAGATATCGCCTTACCAGCAGATATCATATGCTTGCCTGAAGCATCTGAACCTTTACCAGCATCACGCAGAAACTTTCCTAATGTGTTTTCCTCTTGAGCCAAAATACATAATCGTTGTTGATACTGATCTAAAACCCGTTGTAGTTGCAAACAGCTATCAGATATTGATCGAAACAATTCTAATTTTGCATCGAGTTCAGCGTCTGAAGAAACGATACATTCGTCTTCTTTGGTTCCCAATTTTTTTAACACAGTCTTTTTGGTTACCCAATACTGATGTTGCATCATTGTTTTTGAATTTTTTCACTCTATAGAGTGATTAAATCACACGATATATATTAAATAATTAAAGAAAACAAATAATGTAAATTGAGATAAAAAAGAGACAAGTATTCTTAATATCTCTCATTGAGGTTTGTTCGAGTTTTAAGTGTCAGGATGCAGTCAGTCAACTGTCAGTCAAGTAAGTCATCATAGAAAATACAGTTTGACGTTTGTCATTGATAAATCAAAATGAGAAAAGGGGCATAGACATAGATTTAAAATACGTAATGCCTATAAAAATAAGAATGGGTAGGCACCATATTCTCTTTCTGTGGTAAAATAAAATTGAAACTATCAAGTATCAAGAGTTGTCAATGGCTAGTCTATGATCGTGATATTTACAACCGGAATCTTGAATGGCTGCCGTGGTTTTCATATCTTATAAATGTATCGTTTTATCAAATCGATTTGATAATATGCTTGACCTGGTTAGGTGAGAGTGACTTCATAAATACGTTTATTTAAGTAATTACAATGTACTGTGCTAGTGACAAAATTATACCCGGAGTGTCATCGTCTCAGTCTTCCAAGAATGTCAAAGATGGTAAGTTTGTGCTTGTCACAGAGTTAGTATGTTTAAATAATCCGGTATTTATTTTATTTTTGTTATTGTTATTGTACAATCTTTTAACAGAAAAATAATTCTACCATTAAGTACGTATGTAACATATTTTTATACAAATATCGTGTGGTTAACTTTCTAATGAAGTTTTCTATTTTATGATTTTGTTAAAATAACAAATGTAGCAACGGCTTACTTTCTTTTAATTTTATGCAGTGATATCATACATCTTTCTTCTATTCAGTAGCCACGATTGAGACTTATATTGAAATTAAAGTGCATTTGTAGATGTTTAATATTTCTTTTTTCATTTTTTAACATTATGTACATATGTATATTTTTTTATACCAGACTTGCTCACAAAGTATCTACTTTCTTAATACCGTATAGGAAAGAATGTCTTAAGATTAAAATAGTATGGTTAAGTAAGGAAGTTAGAAGGAAATTCTTTCTTTTGTTCTGCATTAATGTAAAAGGCATGCAGATTATTCAGTTTAATATTGCAGATATTATTTTTACATGATATATTTATGTTTGGTGAAATGAAATTTAGACGCAGATAATAAAAAAAAGTTTTAATATGTTTAAACTAAATGATCATTGGTATTCTAAATAAGTTTGTTATGTTCTGCAAATTGAAAAAAATATAACTGCCCTATCAAATACTGAACTGTTTTGAAAAAATTGTAGCTGAATGATGTAAAGATTCTAATAACACCCCATACCTACATTTAAATTTTATCAGACAGCTATTTAGAAGCTGTAGTGGAATAAAAATCTCATATATATGAATCCTGAAAACATTACACTTCTTTTTTTAACAGTTGTATAAAAACAGTATGGAAATAAATTACTAAAATTGTGTAAGATTTGTACAAATTATTAAAGATAAACAACTGTCCATAGTACAGATATTTAATTCAATTCCTATTTAATATTTTACACAAAAATATATAGAAATGTGTACATATACTTGTTGTACATATACAAGACAGGGAATCAGTTTGTTTTTTAATGAATACTAAATGAAAAAAACCTAAAGAAAATGTTGATAAGTAGTAAAAATGCATTGAGATGAGAGAAAATACTTAAGTTATAAATAGTTGTTTTATTTGGTAATGAATATCATCACACTTCTTTTTGTATTTATTTTTATTATTATTTTTTTCTTTTGATATTCATTGTGCATATTGCAATTTCCATTTTATGAAATTTGAAGAATCTATAGGATATTTGTTTTTAAATCATCTCAAGTGTGAGGATTCCATGGAATGATCAGTTGCAATTTAGACAACACATTGTTCTGTAAACATGCAGTGTTCGAATTTTTATAGAATATTATGTATCTTACCTTGGGACCAATTGATTGAGGTTACTTCAATTTTAATGTTCAAAGGATAGGCAGTAAAATTCGTCTTAAAACATCACCAAAAGCCTTACCAAACAGTTCTCAACCTGCCTGCCAAGTGTATCAACTACTGGCAAAACCCCCTTATGGAGTAGTCTTATGTTCAGCAGTGGACAGTTAATGGCTGATATAACAATGATCTTTGGAGTGTCATTAACAAACTTATAGAGGTGACTTATTTGGATAATCAATTCAATGGTGTAATTGTCTGGTATTCAATATATTTCTTTGTAAAATATATTTAAAACCTAACCTATAACAAATTTACCTTAAAAAGTTGTTTGTCAAAAGTACTCTTTATTATTTGATTACATAGTTATATAATGATTGATTTGATATCAAAACTAAATTCATAGAAATATATAAAATACAAGATAAAAATATTTATAAGAAATATTTTCTAAGTAATTTAAAATTGTGTTTCTTTGAAAAGAAAAATTAAATTAAAAGTGGATTTACATTTATATTACTAATACATAATTTAAATATTCCAAATATAAAAGTTTTGGAATCATTTAAATATGAATATCGAGAGGTTCCCACTATTCATTGGTTATGCTAATTTGGGATCTAGGCAAACTGCCTAGATCTCAATCTTGTGTGTGATCAAAATGAGTAATTCATTTGAAATGCCAGCATGCTTTATTATTTATATTTTGACTGTATCAGGACTAGAAGAATGTACTGTTAAACTAATAGCAACAGTCAGGACTGATGGCTTAACATGCTTTATAAGGGGGAGAGGGATGGGGATGGAGATTTTTAGAAATGGAGGTTAGAGACCACATTGTTAGTAAAAGCTCCTGTCCAGTCGACGATCATCGTGTGGTTCGCCCTTCGAAAACATTGTAGTCAATTTCTAGTAAATTTGTAATAATAAGCCAATTGAACTGAGTTAATCTTCACCTTTTATCACTAATTAGTGTCCCGCCAGCGTATATCGATGTCGCCGGTAGGGTAACCATTCTGATTCTATTAAAAAAAGAACATTCTCTATGTAGTAGTATGCTCTAGTTAATATACCATTAGGCCATACTAAAGGTGTTCAACCACTTCTCCAATGGGTCGTCAAAATACAACAACACGTCCCGAATTGTCATGTGATCGTTCGGGACTTGCTAAAGGTATTCGAGAGGTGAACCTCTCGTTATATGATAATTTATCTATGCTGACAGTTATTACAATTACCATATCATGTTTATTTTGATTAATCAATAAAAGGTACATACTAATAAACACGAATACGTAGGAGATTTGCTATCAACCCAGGCATCTGACAGTGTGTGCCCCGCTATAGAATGGGCTCTTCCTTTCCCGTGAGTTTCGTAAGAGGTGACTAAAGGAGGGCGAGGGATGGGCAGCTGCATCCCTCTTTAAACATTTCTAAAAGCCTAACTGCGAATGCTAATTTGCATGCCAAGAGTGGCAACTGTAAAACTCCCCTTATGGGGAATGCTTATGTTTAGCAGTGGACAGTTAACGGCTGAAAAAAATAATAAAACATCCTGTAGCCTATTATATTATGCACTTTCAGCTTTAAATGTATTCCTTAAGACATACCTACTTAGGTATATATCATGTCATCAAAAAGAGAAACTATAAACTTCAATAATGTAAAATAAAGAATAAAAATACTGTACGCGTATACTAATGGCATTTGAGTTAAAAAGTCGTTGCTGACGCAGCATCCTCAGTTCCATCACATCATTGTCAACCAAATCGTCCGCTCCACTGAGGTCACACAGCCATTTGCCGCCAGAACCGGGTCAAGGCTGCTGTGGGTGTTTGATTCGTGTCTCGCGTGTCTGTTCCCGATATACTCGTACGTTATCGATCCATTTACCATCTTCCGAATTTAAGTAGGTGCTCTTCGAACATCAGAGATTTCGTAACGGGACCGCTCTTTTGCATAATATTACCATAAATAACCACTCATCACGAGGGCTACGAAAAGACGTCTGAGTGCTAAATTAGAATAGAAATACGATGGAACTTTTTGTTAACTAAACAAAATTGATAATACGCTAAGATCCAATTATTGTTTCTTGTCTTGATCAAGTAATAGCGCTTCGCGGGATACTTTCGTAAAATACTCATCAAATTGTATTGGGCCGGAGTGATTGATTAACAATCCCTCTTTAATGTAAAAGGCAGGAAACGGTTTTGCCTCGGGGAAGACTTGGCAAATTTTAAAGGAATATAAATGTAAAATATTCTTTACATCACGGCTCTGTGTGAAAGTGTATTTATTGGAGAGATTTGAGAAATATCAGATCGTGATTTTGCAATATTTACCTTTCATCTTTTTAAGTGTTACAGACAAAAGTATTTGAATGTAACGCCTAAAAAGCCGCTTAGGCGCAAGTTGAAGTTACATGCCAAGGGTTTCATACATAAATATAATACATTAAATTATCTTTATTCTATTTCTAATAAGAAATAGACATCTAATAATTATTACTATTGATATTCGTAATTTCTTATTTTAGATCATAATTACGATTAAAAACTGGGCCACATAATTAAGTTTTTGGAGATTTTTTGATAATTTTTGAAAAAGGGTGCTAGTTAAATATCACTTTTAAAATCAGTTACAAAATGTACAAACGGAACCCTTTCAAATGGTACCCTATTTGTATTCTCCTTTTGGACCCCTTTTTTTAATAAAAATATTTTTTCAATTATTTCCATTGCAATATGTGCAGGCCAATGACATGTAAAACTATTCAAAATTTTGAATCAATAACATTGGTAGTTGCTGAGATATAGCCCTATGACAGACGAACAGATGGATGGACGGAGGTCACATCATAAGGGTTCTTTTGTACGGAACCCTAAAAATGACTTCGAAACCTCTGAAACCGCGTCGACTTCAGAATGGATTGTAATTACTGTCTCTTAAACGTCAATTTATTACTTTGGAATAAATATATACTTTATAATAGGCACTTACTTCACTGAATTAATAACAATATAATTAGTGTTTTGTTTTACAATTATAATATTATAATTAATGGTTATTGTTAAAGATTAACCCAATTACGACCTACTAACTTTTTTATACCAATGCCCTATTCGGAAAATTAAATATATGACTCGCTAACTATATTAATAGCTATGTAATTGTGACATCATT